CGGGGAAATGTTGTCAAAACGTGTATACCATTTGTGAAAACTATGTACGGCATAAAGTCTAAAGGATTGCAAAAAGGGGGGGTCACTTGCCCAAAACTGTGGCAAAGAGAGCCGAAGAATTTGATAGAACTCGACGGGCAATGGCGACAAATTCAGTGAGGAAATCCACGTTACAGGAGGTGAACGAAATGACTTTCGTAGTCAATGTGATTAACACCAGCAGAGTCAATTGGTGAATCATAGAGGACCGTGAATTGGTACATGTATATCTGATGGTAACATTAACTATGGATGGGTAGCGCGGATAAATACTAAAATGCAATACCGAAGATGCGACTGTGATATCCTCACAGAGTTAAAGTTTGCACTATTCTGAAGCCATATGCCAAATGCCATTTAAATGCAAATCGTTTAAATCATAGGGCGACAGGGCTCTTCAAATAATCAAACCCATCTCCTAACACTAGTGGTAACCATGAGACAATGGTCTTTCTGGTTTCTTGTAATATAAAGCGTCGAATGTCGGAAGAAAAATATCATCCCTCACAATAATTAAGGAAAATTTGGAAGACTTTATCGTCAAAGAATGCAGCTAAAGACATAGTTCAGAGATAATTTTGTCCTTTTTCTTTTGGAGTTTATCTTCAATTTACCTTTTGAAATTGTGTATTTTTGTTACCCTTAAAGTATGTAATTCCTCAAAACCTAAATTTGAAATTTTAGTGGAGGCTTAGCTTAATTTTCCTTTTTCTGAGCAATATGTTGCCATAATATTTACATATATATTCAAAAGCTTACATTCGAATTCCTCTCAATGTTCAGAACAAATTAACAAAATTTATAATTTATATGGCTTTTATACCATTAGCCTCGCCAATGAACTGTGAAGGATTGTAGGTTGTTGCGATGAAGCGACTAGCGTGTTAATGGAACTGGGAGCGGGATAAGAGAGGTACGCTCGGGTACCCCCTGTACCTGCAGTATATTTCCTTGATCATTCATCGTTTCTGAAATTCGCTGAGCCTTAGGCATGGCTTATACGCTGAATCCTGCAGCGACTTCACAGAGTAATTGCCTTCAATTATAGATGTTTTTGTTGTTCAGACAGACGGGTGTTTTTTGCCTTTTTAATTAAAAACGCAAAGATGTTCCCCCTATGCCTTGCACATGTAGCACGTGTATTTTTTCGTCTACGTTTCTGTATAGTCCGTAGAATACAGCACAGTGCAAAATAATTGAAATCATAAGCCAGTGGGGACCAAATTAAAGAGATCCACCCAAACTTTATGCAGATTACGTGCTACGTAATCGCATTACCCTCTTCCCGATTCATTTCCTGATTCACCTAAATGACTAAAAATTGCCTGATTTGTGGCAAATTGGGACGGTCCTGTTCGTTGATTAAACGAACACGCATTGGTCGAGACTTGTGCATGTGCAGCGCAGGAGAGGAATTAAAGAAGCAGATAAAAAAAATGGGAGAGTGAGCAGAGCTGGGGCGAGATTGAGCTTGGTATCAGGTTGCAATGAGAGCTACCATGACTCCGGTAGATTGTGACAAAACATCGCCGCGAAAAGTTCAGGCATACGCACCAGTGGGACCGGCACTTTCCGCGGACGAGTCGACAAATTTGGATTAATAACGAAGCCTCAAGTTGATTACCATTGTCTACAGTTGCAGGCTCCGTGGCCAAGCCGAGATTAGGGTCAGTTGATGAGATTCTAACGTGACGTCAACAATGGCAAATCGACAGGTAGTCCTTACTGAGCGACAAAATGTTGGCGACGCACACCTCCTGAATCATGGTATACGTGACGTTACGTGGTGGTCAAACGTTCACTTTTCTCTTATTTCGACGCCCCAGGATAAATCTCGACACTAAGTGTCTTTAAAATTGTGAATGGTATTGAAAGATTCGCAAACGGGGCCGCATCCGTTTTCCTGTTTTCTTGGAAAGATGTATTTGCTGAATGCTGCTTTATTGTATAATTGCTATTACATATATTTGTAGAGTATTAAGGTATATTTGTATATGTATATATATTATATCGTTTACACATTTCCAACTTTCAATATTTAGACGAGAATATCCAGTTTGATTTCATTAAAACTGCAATAGTTTTATTTCTGATTGACCACGACCAGGCAGTTTCAACATATAATGCCTCTTTGTGATTTAATGTAAGCGGAAGATGCTATATAGGAACAAAAACAGAGAAGCTTTTGAAGTCATCTCATACTAGAGATCTCCTTCCCCCTATCAGACTTGAGACTCTTTCTAACTGTCTTCGAAATTCTCATAATTTTTCTAAATTGCATACCAGGACAACTTGGTTTTAAAAATTTTAATTTATTAAAACATGTAGATTGTAATTATTTACACGCTCGTTAAATATCGTGCTTCGTCTCTCGTGTTTCGTTTATTTTACATGTACTTATTTCCCTTAAGCTTGGTGTACTTTTTAAATTTTGTCGTTGTTAAAGTTCATCGGTTTAATGTGCACTGTCTTGAAATTGATTGTAAATGTTTCAATTTTTTTGTAAATACTTTAGTAACTTTTCGTTAATACGATGTAATGTGTTGTAAATTTTTACTGTAATTTGGCCTTTGGCCACGAGTGTAAAAATAAATAAACCAAATAAATTTTTTCGACAGGTTTAAACAATTATCCTGTAAATACTTGTGATCATTTTACGCACAGGCATACTTGTAAAAAAGACCTCTTCAGTAGAATTTTTCGACTCAGTGTAGAGCCGTGGATTTCAGGAAGGTGATACTGTAAAACATAAAAGAGATTTGAAAACCTTAGATTGAATCCACTGTCTCTAATATTACATGTGTCTTCTGGTTAAATGTGTTTTTTTATTTTCCATCGGTTGGCAGTTGCGGATTTTAGATGAGCAATGAACTGGTCACAATGCTATTTTTATATTTTACTTATGCAGTGAGTTCAGAGGTATTGTAAGATTAAATTACAGAATGCAATTTGCCATTACGGTGGTGAAAAATGTAGGTGTGTTTTTAGGCAGTGCGTTGGAGTGTTTTGACGGGCACTACCCTTTGATAGGTTTGGTGTTGTACCAAGCTAAGCTTTCTGTAACACGATCCCTAACTCCCTGATTGTTGTTCCTCCGTTTCTCCTAATCTTCACGTTGATTGTTACCGTCTTGCTTCTCTCGTCTTGATCTTTCCTCCGTATCGTCGTTTAGAAGTGTTTGTCCAACCTTGCAGTACCGTGGATGAGCCTGACGATCATTGCAGCTCTACATGTACTTGAATGAAGTTTTGGTATGATACCTTTGTTGTGCATAAAGTAGCCTGCAAGACTCATGGAAGGTGCAAAACGATTTGATTTGAAACCTAGGAGTATTGTATACACCGAAATACTGAAGTAGAAGTGTCTGTAGAGATTCTGAACAGTAATTTGGAGCTTAAGCTACCCTTCTATAGAAACTGTAATGTCAAATAACGATCTCTGGTATCAATATGATCATTCACTCTCCACTAAGTAATCATCAAAAATCCGTAAGACAGAACCAAAATATTAGCAGGATATTTCACATTGAAAACATTAACGTGCTTCAGTAAATCAACAATTAAATGCCTCCACATATACCTTGTTTAGACTTTTTCAACTTAAACGTTTTTCTCTTCAACTTATCTCTGGAAAAGAGCTGGTGAGTATTCAGTCAAATCTGTCTTTTCGTCACGTGATCATCAAGTTTATGAAAAAAGGTCTTGAAAACAGAAACAGCGCCCACGTATTTCTTTCCATAGGACTTTCTTGTCCTGTATAGGACTCTACATATCAACCTGCTCCTTCGGATGCAGAAATTAGAGTAATCTAACCCTTGAGGGTTGTGACGTAGACGGAGCGTCTCCTCGGTCCTTGATTGGTCGCGAAGCAATGGACTTCAGTGACGGTAAACAACCTCCAAGACACCATCAATCCATCGATGAATGCGCCTGTAGCACCGCAAGCATCATTTTATATTGCAGAATCATAAAATAAGCAGTAACAGTTGGCATATGTGCTAAGTAAAAATCGACAGGGAACCAGTCAGAGTTTCTGTCTATTACACGTCACTGAACTGGTAACCAACGTTATGGATGCTTTAAGAAATTCTGTGCACTTAGCAGCTTCGTGAAATGAACCTCAAACCGTCTGTCTACGCTAGTCTAATTTAAGACCAAACGGTAACTTGCTGACAACGCTGACGTAGAGAGCCATATCAATCAGTCTGCATACACGTCTTTGGCATAATTCGGTCTTCCATAGTTTGAATTCCTTAAATATTACTTTCTTGCAAGCTCGTGGTCTGTCTTGCAGTGGGCTTAGACTGAATTGGTTCGATGCACGATGCGTCGGATAGAGATATGTCTACCAAATGTACCCTTTGAAGTACTTGAGGCAAACAACTACGTATGAGGAGCGAAATAAATTTCAATTTTGGTTTTGAATTGCCCCCATCCACACCCCTAGCAATTGGATGACCCTTTTAGAGCAGCTGTCGCATCTCAGCTTACATTCATTGTGTATAATGCATGCCGCCTTTCTTTTGGAACGAGTGGTTTATATTTATGGGCAGTTTTTTCAAAGAAAACGAAGATAACTTTGTAATTGTAATTTCCTTTCCTCGTCTGTTTGCAGAGGGAGAGTGAATTCATACAAAGAGCTAATACATACTACGTAGCGTGAGATAGAACTGGGCATCCACTAACCTTCCATCAACACCTGAAGAATCGTGTCAACCACAAATGTTCCGACGAGAGAGGGCGGTCTACTAATTTGATATTGGTGTGCAATATTGCGTGTTTCGACGAATGTACGTGTAAGTTGGTGCTAGCAACACAAGGAATGTTTATGTTGTCTCGTATTGATGCATTCAGACTTCAAGTCTTTGTAATTTACATCTCCTAACCACTGTGACCTTAACCGCGAGCTAGGTAACTGGACGTTAATGCCACATTCAGAAATATGAGGAGAAATATCGTGAATATTTTTCGCCCGATTTAATACTCCATATAACTTCAATTGGTTCTCATGTGAATATTAAACTTTAAGTTGATTGTAAGGCAAACAACTTGGATTACAATGTATTTCGGACAATGTGCTAGTGTTATGGATACATGGGGCTTCTCAATTACGGCTGCATCATTAGAACTATGTTCAGATAAAGTTTATAAAGCCTATACAGTAACATCAGATCCGGCAGGAACCAGTTGAAACGGCAATATTTATTGGTCGGACCCTAACATTTGAGAATCATAGCAGAAATGATCGTCAGCGACGCGCCATTCACAAGCAAGACAGGACGCATCCATGCATAGACACAACACTCAGATAAGCAAACAAGACTATCCGAGATGTCGTTTGATTCAATCGTGAAATATCTGCGATATGTCCACTCGACAAGATTTAACATGTGTTCATCTGATGTACACTGAAGAAGCTTCAGGAGACAACAGTACTGTCAGACAGATTGCTCAATGATCAACTCAGGGTACATCTGGAATTTCCTCTGTAAATTATGCGTCTGCGTAGCATGATCTGCGACACTTAATTGGCAGCACTAAACACAAGAAATCCGCTAAAGGTGGTGTAGTGGAATTGATCGCTATAGACAGCATAGTTTGCACTGGCGGGCATACGGAGCCACACACTGTCGCCGGCAGACAACCTCAGAATCTGAAGAGGAGAAATGAAGGAATTCGAAATTGAGTTCCCACGAGACGATTAAAATAAGCTTGATGTGCAAAATCACCGCCGAAAATGTAGTTATATTGTTTACTGCATGACGAGATTTGTTCATCCGGTTTCAGCAAACAGTTGAACATTGCCGAGCTTAGCTCCTGCCTTTAGCAACTGAGTGTAATTTATTTATTGACTGAGACAGCGGGTGACTATATTACCGTGCTCTGAGTACTGCTGATACTTCGCATGGCTTCGTCGGTGTTGGTTGCCACCTGTAACTCGTTATTTTTCATCAGAGCTATACCTAAAATACGGTTGCTGTAAGTGCGTAGCCTGTCAAGAAGGGGAACACACAAGAATTTCATTTATGCGTAAAAGTAGATGAATTCGTTTCTGCTTTGCTGTTTCATTATTTTTTCTCAGCGAAAATTCTTTACTATTGTGTGTTGCCTTCAAGGCAGTATCAGCTAGCAAGAAATACGTTTGCCCTGTTTTTATGGTAATTAAAAAAGAACGATATCTTTCTTCAGACATATTGAAAGCCTATACAGAAGCCCAGGGTCACAACTTCAGAGCGCCCTCTTTTTTCCCACTGGAGACAAAGTAAGCCCAAATGAACTCACGTATATGAGAAAAAGTAGAATCCAGGGATCCGGCAAACGAAGGAGTTGTTGTTGAAGTTGAAATCACCTCCCTTGTTGGAAATGTTGACATCAAAGTTTAGGGATTGCATCTGACTTGATGACCCGTGCTGTGAATGGGTAGAAGAGACGGAGAAGGCTGACTTCCGAGTGTCTGAGAGAAAATGATTTGGAATAAACAATCAATCGACACTCGGATTTGATTGGAATGGAAAATAACGTGTCTCTATTCCTTATAATATCCATACCAATTTGATAGCATTGATGTTAATGTTATTCTGAGACTGGTGAACTGATGTCAGCCGAGGGCGCAATGGATGTACTTGTCATTCGCAGGTCAGTGGCCAAACAATGTGGGACCAGGACCTCTCAAACTCTCGAGGTTACATGATGAAACATCTAATTGATGGAGACATCGCTGATTCCCAGCAAATGCAAAAGGAAAGACTTATTTGTCGTTAATTACAACCTCAGTGGTTGCAGCTGAAGATTACAGCAGAATAAATAACATCATACTTTTGTTAAAGGTTTTCAGTGGTTCTGGTAGGGTTTCTCCAAGTTTTTTCCCCGGAATTATTTTTATAACATCTATTAGACAATGAGGGTTTCTCCAAGTCGTCTTTGATGAGTGATCGTTTGGAGTACATTTTGGAGTCGGTTTACATGAAGTGTATAGATGAATTAAACCGAAGGCTGTTATACATAATTAGCTCTACGAACTGCGTGTACGAGGTTGATTTTTAATTGAAGTGCAGGAATTTTTCTGACACTCGTACATGCAATAGCTGCAGTGCACTATGAGGTGTTTAACAACATGAGTTCACATAATGAAAAAATGACCCATGCATAATAATATCGTAGATAATACGAAAACTGTTTAAATTCAAGTGTGAAGGAAATTCAGATTATTCAAGTAGACCTGCTAATAATCGCCAGCTGGTGTTTTAACACGACTCTGGATCACGTTGTGACCGCCATTCAAAATCAACTAACTGGGGAATTGAATTTAATTGTAGGACTAAGCATGTTCATCATCTTACCAGCTGTTCTGGCCCGTTCTGCCTCTTCAAGGAACCGATCCTCCTCATCAACACCCAGCATCCCCTTGACAGCATTCACGGTCTCATCGTCTGCATTCTCTCTTTGTCTCACTTGAGTGGACAGGGTAATTCGCTTGCTTAATTCCTCCAACTTCTTCCTCAGCTCAGCGTTCTCGTTGCTCAGCTGTTGTAAAGCCAGACCGACCATTCCCAAATCTGGGACCGAGTCCCCATCATCATCGGCCCGGCTGAACTCTGTTACTCGGTCGGGTCGTAGAGCAGCCAGTTCTGCTGCCCTGTTACTCAAGTAATCCCGGAGTACTTCTATTCGCTCCCTCGTATTTCGCTCTTCTGGAGTCACGGTCTCTTCTGGTGCTGCTCTCTTCGAGAAATCCGGAAATAGGTACGTTAGACCTCTCTCTAACTGTTCCACAAGTTGTCGCAACTCTTTTTCTCCGTTTTTTGGCGGCTTGGGGGACCCGACTAGGACAGCGAGCTCCAACTCGCGGTTTCGCTGATCGAGTTCCTGGATTCGCCCCTCAAGTCCTGACACCGTGTTCTCCAGCGCGTTCAGGCGGCGTGCTACGGGACTACTCCCCACAGATTCGCCGCTCTGGCCCCCACGGTGCCTCACGTCAACTCGCCGATCCGTGACAGTGGCTGCATCGGCGCACCCAGTCAACCGAACTGTCGGTAAAACCGCGACTAAAACCCAGCACCAGAAAAACGAGCATGTCAACACCGCCATGATGAAGGCTTTTCTATTGTAACCCTTCGACCAATGAATAATGTCACCTGTGTACTGTCGGTATTTGATGCAGTCTTCCGTGACAAGACTTGGGAAAGGCAACATATGTGAACGGTTATCAATAGAGTCAATATTTTCACCAATCATAATTATCTGATTCTAAATGAATATGCGATAAGTTATTGAAAGAATAAGAGGCCACTCGAAAATCTCTTTGACAACCAAGCTCGAGCTCTGAAGTGACACGGGCAGGGACTCAAAAAGCTAACTGTCCAACATTTTCAATTTTCCAAGGCAATCGATGTTGTGTACAGCTTTATAGGCCTATACCCCGCTGTTTCGACTTTGTTCTTTTATTCCCCGGCAAACGAAGCTAAACGTCCGTTACTATACCTGTGTGGGTCGCATATTTTCAATAATGTAAAAGGTTACGGATCAAATAAGGCAAATGTAATCCAGTCTGGCATTTGCCAACTCGGGACCTAGATAACATAAACTCAGACGTCATGGGGTGCACTGAGTTAACTAATCAAGTTGACATTTTTGAGCGAACTACTGCTAGGACCGGAATGTTTCTTGAAATTCTTGCCCGATTTCATTAGTTTCAATAAAACAACAAGGTGTTGCATTATTATGCTTGCAAAATGCCCCTCATTGTGGATACTCAGATGTGTCCGTCTATCTTGCTGGAATTCAGTCCACACGGGTAAGCCCTGGCTTGTACCTTCATTGTACCGATTTTTTTTATACCGATTCATGGTAATTATCATGAAGTAAATTATGCTGGTAGTGCATAACTCGCGGTAAATAGGGTAGTTTACACACTCCTCTTTAAGAATTACCGGGGATTCGACCATCGATCCCAGTCTCGCTCTTGTACTGAACGCATACAAAAAAGAACAAACAGACACCCCCAAGAAACAAACGAATAAACAAACGGGCCGAGGGGATGTCCTCTGATCACCCCCTCCCCCGAGAAGTGACAGACTACAGTAGTGAATATGTGAGCACACGCTGGGAGGGTGCATGTAGTCAACGCTGAATATCACCGTTGCTAAGAAGACGAAGTATCTCCTTCAAATTCAAAGCTATGTGGAAGAATTCGTATAGCTTCCATCAGAAAGCCGGCAAATCTCGTGGAAGAGCAGACTTGAATGCAGGTCAACCATTGTGGAGTTGTTCGACTGAAAGAGCCCTAGGTGTACGCAATGTCGGAAAGGACCCCCCCGCCTTGCGATACGAAATTATGAATGTGTCATTTTTCTGCACAACCGCAGACTGCCCATGTGTCTTTTCGGTGAGTGACCTAGCTTAGTTTGAACCCGATCCCAAAATTAAAAAAAATGACAACAATCATTGAAGCACGTACATACATAGTGTCCTTTGCCCCGTGAATTCCGGAGCAGATGTACTTTTACTTAATAGGAAAAAAGAAAGTTAGCAGATGTTCATGGTCTGAAAACAGCAACCCACAAGACCAGGATATCAGCCCATTCCTTGAAATATGAGACATATGCGCCCACTCGCCTGTGATTTGTAGTAAGACAGGAACATCCGATACAAAAGCAATGTCTCGTGGGTTTCAAAAGCCGCAGTTTATTGTGACAACTTATATTATTAATTGATTTGTGGGACGTATTTAACCACGGAGTTAGGCTCCACCGTGGTCTAGTAAGTTCGAAGTAGTGTTTTGCGCGAAGCAATATCACGCAAATTTCAATCGTTGTGCTCAGTTAAATCTTACAATGCTCCAAATTGTCAGTGTTATGAAATTTATGAATTGGTGAACCCAATGGACCATTTTCTCGCCGTTTCACATGATCTCTCATGAGGAAAATACATAATATAAGATAATAAAAACACTACTGGAATTTGGGACGCGTCAGGCGCCGGAATGCTTGATCAAATGAGTTCACAGACTGAAGGCGTGTATTTGCCATAAATGTAATTAGGTGGTTGTCAGGACCGTCTGCCATACAGGTGCAAGGCCACCTGATTGATTCATAGATGATTGAAGTCCTGGTCGAAGTCGCCTGCGGGTTGTAATTTGGCCAATTAGTGTTTGACACATCACGGTCACATACACAAGAGGGCAACAGTTTCAATGATTTGGCATGACTCACTGGTTTAGCATCCGCGAGAAAATTAATGTGAAAACCTCAAAGGCCTTGGTATACAAATTACAAAGAGTTTATTATGAGACGTAGACCCGACATAGACTCAACGTGCCAGATAAACGTGTAAGGGAAATCTTTGTCGGATCGTCAATCGTCAAAGGCCATCAATCACCTTTTTTGTTTATATAAATTTGCAATTTTCCTAGGTCAATATTCGTTTGTTTTTGTTTGTTTTTCTTGCTTTATTAGGCATGGAGTGGACTAATTTGAAGGAAGTAAAATAAGAGAAATGAAGGCGATGAAGCAAGACTATTCATATCCTGTGATAAAGATGACTTCGTGGTATAACACCCTAATTCTAGGACCATATGTTTGTCGCATCTAACTGCACGCGTGGACTCAAGCCCACCAGACATGTTTTTTTTTCAGAAATTTCAGTCGTACGTTATTGCATTTATAGACCGTGCACTGGCCACACTTCTTTTTTGAGCATCAATCAGCTCCTTTACTGTCAAGTCTTGATAAAACGGATGGAGGGAAGCATATGAGTCAATAAATCTGAGATTGGATGGTAAAATGGGGAAATTTCTCTATATTGGCAACACCACTCATGGTCTTAGTTAATTGATAATTCCGATGATTTCCAGAAAGTGTGTGCAGCGTACATCTTTTACTGGGGAAATGGATTTCAAGTAGAAAGAAACAAGTTGGCCCAATACGTCCTCTAGTTAGTGAATCATCAAAATCTCGACACTTTCCAAGAGTGTAATTTACTTCCGGCTTGCCTTTTTATATCCATGGACCATCCGTGATACGTCGCATTCGGTAATCGAATCCATGATCTTTGCGCATTGAACACCACGTGTACACAAAGAGAGTGTTCCGTCACGCTATCTACAGGAAAAAAACAAAGGGTCAGCGAACGATCTTGACTCGGAGCCTCCAGTCAGTGGACTCTCCTTGGAGACATTTGGTAGCCCTGAAAAGAACCGTGGAGAAATATCTCCCGCATGGTTGTAAAACTGAGTGGTGCATCATTTCTTGAAAGTTATGAAATCCACAGGAAATTTTGAATTGAAGGTCCCCTCAAAGCTGCGATGAAAGCGATAGATGAAAGTTAACATGACGCATTGACATGGTGGCAAATGTGCAAGATGCAATGATAAGTAGGCCTACATTTGACTACAGGTAGTAAAGTTCTACACAGCCATGCACTGGGTGCGGGGTTAGAGTTGATGTGGAAACATGCCCGGCTGTCGTTCGAGGTGTTGGTTGCAGACTATGGGTCACTGGTTGAATGCTCATACAAGAGGTAAAGGTTGATAAAGATAAATGATCTTCTGACCTAAGACAAACGGTTCTCGTGAATGCCTAGCATCATTGTAAGCGCATAGTCTCAGCTCGAAGGATAGGATTGCAGGGAGTTATTCCTCCATCAACAGAAGTTATTTTGACTTATTTACATTTCATCCTGTTGACCAGTAATTCTACTCTTGTCAGCGAGAATTCCCTTCCTGTATTGTTTCTGCTGTCTTCTTTTTCAGGAAGAACCAGAGAATAAAATACAAAAGTGGAAGCATTTCTGGAGTGTTCTTTTGGAACTTGACTCCACAAACAGGTGGGACCATGGAGACCCACCTGCCCCTCATGTAGTGACGTTTTGCCCTCGTTAGTGACGTCATTGACACCCGACCCGTATTAGCCTTAAGGTTGCATCGAAACGCGTACATCGTATTTTGCTTGCAGGAAATACCAGATCGTTTCATTAAGTTTACTGGTGGTGGAAATTCTCAATCATCAACATTACTTTCCATAAAAGCATTTAATTGAGCGTTTGAAAAAGGCGCCAGTCTTTTCGGAATATTCCAAGTTAGATAGGGAATAAACAACTAAGGGTTCGAGATTTTGTATTCTTGAATAAGCAACGGGTTCTTAGAATCTCCCCTTGTTGACAGAATGAAAGAGTCCGCCGTACCACCTGTTACCGCGATGTTTACCGTGTCAAAAACCCTGGCAACCCAGCTCACGGAGACTATAAATTCCCCTGTCGGGGACTAGCTGACCTCAGAGGTGACGTGCAGTATACCGATCACTACTCAACATGTTCATCGTTTAGCTTGACCCAGCTCTGAAAATTGCACCGAACCCCTTCTGACGAGAACATCCCTAGATTCTCTGCTGAAGTTTACCCCCAGCGTTTGATGAGATAAATAAACAGTCAAGCCGAAATTCTGGGCAAACTGCGCAACTATAACTTGCCCTGATCAACCTTGTGCTTTGTGTGCAGTATCTGCGGACAGAGACGTGCGAGCTAAACCTACAACTTTTAAGTGGTAAGTTCTGTTCCTTGGATCTTTCGTCTTGAAATGGCCTCATTTGCCGTAAAGTGACTGCTCCGAGATCTTCAGAATGTTGCTGAATATCAGGTATTATACAAGCATGACAAGGAGCACGTATTATGACTGAACAATCATAGATTGATCGTTCACTTTTCTCTCCATGATAAGCTGTCCATCCAAGGCTGCTTATACCCGACGTTACATCATTACCATTTTCTCTCATTTTTATGTTGGCCATTTGGACGGTTTAAACATGATTACCACGTCCAATGGCTTTCATTATTAGTCCACCAACAACGGGCAAAGGATTGAAGACTGGTAGAGGTTAACATGTTTGGAGAAATATGCAGTTACTTCTTGTAGGTGTGAACAAGGACTAGACCTGTAGACTATGTAAAACTAAAATGCAAAATCCAGCTTTTAAATTATACATTCGGAGTACGATGTAGGTACTTCTTGCTTCAGTACTTGGTAGTAGCATGGATGATGGAGGAACAGCACCTCCATGGTAGTAGTGACTAGTAGTCTAGTTTGCAGTCTTGATCATCATGGTATGAGATGAACCGTACTCGATCGCTGGGAGTCTGCTATTGCATCCTGAATATTTTGACCGCCGCGCCGGCCGGTTGACAATCAAACCAGTCACACTGGTTATCGCTTTGTCCATGCATGGAGGAAGGACACAATTGTTTCCTTCCACTGTGGTCCATGTAGGAAAGAATTGGATGCTTTGCTAAATTCACATCTATGCCTATATCCACTTGTTACCTCAACACTGGTCATGGATTACCCTGTGAAAAAAAATCCATTTTAGCATGCTTGTTCCGGAAATCACCATGACTTTGCCTTGATCTTTTCATGTTTTCTTTCGGTGTCCCTGAAAGCTTATTCCAAGTCCGGTTTTGACTGCGATCATTTATTGAGTGTCATCCTTTATTCATGTCCTAATTGTGTGGGATTAAATGTATGCTAATTTGCTGGGAGGGATACAGCCGAACTGACGTCAGAAAACTACCCCGAAGGTCTCTCTGCAAGCAATATTATACATTAATTCTTATAACTCGGTCCGCCTGATTAAATGAAATTCATTTGTGTCATCTTGCACCAGCACAACTTTATCTCAGATCCAAAACGATGACTTCCTCTGTCCGTCAAGTCGTCTTTGCCTGCCTTCTGTTGGCCGTAATTGCACACACCGATGCCCGAAGGCGTCGACCGTTTATTCCTGGCAAGACAGAGCCAAAGGTTACCGACGCACCCGTGGCCGTTGAAGAGTTTCAAGACACTCGTGAACAGGATGACAGGAACAGGGTGCTGGTTGATATGGAGCGCCGCATGGCCAATATAGAAGAGAGCACATCGATAATGAAAAGAGAGGTAAGGGTCCGTCCATAAAGTATGCACTCACGAAGGGGGAGCGGGGTTGGTGCCGGTGCGTACACCATGCGTACAGAGGGGAGGAGGGTTCAAGCCAGTGCGTATCGTACGCAAACCGAAAAGTTGCCTTAAATGAATCTTCATCATACAATACACTATCATACAAATAAATGTACTACAATCAGCTTTTGTTCGTCGAAGAACCATTCAAACACAGTATTGGCCACCGTCCACCCCATCATTTATCCTCCCTTGCCAACGCCCATTATTAGTCAACCGGAACATTACCCGTGACACAATGATCGGCAGCGTCTTCTGGAATTGTGGAATGTGCATGCGTAGAGTGGGACGGAGGCACTGCGTACGCCATGCGTACAGGGGTAGGAGTGGTCTGGAAAGTCGGCATTTCTTGCGTACGCACATGTACTTAATGAACGACCCCTCAGCATGCTGTACGAGGTTGTCCAATACACTCACGAATCTATAGAACGCCAAGCATATAAATTATCGATTAACGAATTTTGGCAAAACTTTACAAAAGTAATGTTTCCTGCGTCACGTGCGTCATTTTCACTCTGTGGTAAAAAAATCATGAAAATGACACCAGAAAAATGGTCCTGCCCTTAGCCATTTTCCTGAAAATATGCTCATATCCCGGATTTGAATCATTTTCACCTTAAATAAGCATATTAGTATTTTTGCGTAGACTCGACCCCTTGTTAAACCATGTTTCCACTTCCAGCAATATTTCTTTTTGATTTCTTTGTGGCTTCAGATGCTGGAGACCAAATCGGAGAACACCAGACTCAAGGAAGAGATCCAGAGAATGAGCGGTCTCATGGAGGAGTTAGACGCGGCCAATGGGCGAGTAGGCGAACTCGAGTGGATGCTCAGCAAATTTGAGAACTTCTTCGGCGTGCTGTACATAGAGCACCCGGACTTCTTCGCCCGGGAGATGACGGTGGATAAACGGCTGTCGGCGCTTAACGAATACATCGGCAATCGGGAAGCTGAGCTGATGGCGTTGCGGCCCAACCCGCCAGTGGTGACGGCTGATCCGGCAGAGAACCCGGTCGACGAAGAGCTGATGGGTGTGGTGATTGAGGAGCTCAGTTCAGAGAACGCCAAACTAAAGAGGCGACTGGACGATATGGAGACCAGAATGGTGTCCGTACCGGGAAATTTACCGGATGGCAGCCGCGGTGGCCCAGCAGTCACCCAGCCAGATGAGGAGACCCGGGACAGGCTGACGCGATTGGAACGGTTAATGGCGCTTCATTTTGCACCACAGCTGGACGAAGAATATCCTGGTCAGAATCCCGACTCCGACGCAGGAGGCAAGCGGCTCGTATCAGGTGGTAGCACAACGCAGCGAGTACCCCTTAGCGAGTCAGACACGGAGATATTGAAGGAAGAGCTGGATAGCATCCGTTCGATATCAAGTAAGAAGTCAATCGATTAATCCTAATGATCGCTGTTCATTCCCCAGGATTGCTGATTTTTCGTTGTTAAAAATTTTGGGAATGAAGCAACATTTCTGGTAAATTACCGGTAATAGTCATAATAAGAAACTGGGACTGAATTTATGACGGTTGAAAACCTGTACATGTACTACAAGAAAACAGACACCGATTTTGCTTGACTTTAAATAATAATAAAGATAGACGTTTTTAAATAAGTTTTTATTGGGTATAGTTATGACAGTCTTTCTCATCTTCCAGGTACCAGGAAGAGTGTGTTCTCAGCTGCTGCTACCCGACATGTGAACGGCGAAGCCCTTGTCCATAAACCTGTCTTTTTCGATCACGTTTTCTCAAACAAGGGAAACCACTTCAAGGAACACAACAGCACTTTCATCTGTGGTATCACTGGTTACTACTTCATCACCTTTACGTAAGCATAGGCCTACATGTACAGATCCTCCCTCCAGTTACTGTTTTCCCTGATTTTATCAAAAGCTACAACGCCAGTTAGTCCTTAATTGGGAAGCGCGATTTGTTGGGGAGATGGGATTCCATTTTTTGTCCCGTCAACTTAATTTTTTCGTGCCAGTTTTCAGCAGATTTTTATCCTGAGTTGAATCAATTGAAAAGCCGTGTTGGTTCTCAATTTCCAAACCTCTTGGCCTGTCTCATTAGTTCCTTTCGAACCAGAAAATCCAACATCTGATTTTTGTCAACAGAGCTAAGTTCTCTCCCCATCTTTCCCCAATACAGTGTTCGTTCCTATGACAACCGGCACCTTGGCATCAATATGCTCTTGAATGGCGACCGAGTGACGTCAGTGAGTGGTGAGAAAGATCAAGAGAGAAACCAGATGATGACGCAATCCGTAGTGCTTCATCTGTCTCCAGGTGACAAGATATGGTTGACTGTATCTCCAGCTACCACCTATGCAATCTACAGCGACCCTGGGGGCAAGTACTGCACGTTCAGCGGGTTCTTACTCTTCAAGGGGTCCTAGGACGCAAGAGGGCTGTAGACTTCATAGCAACTCTATACCATGGGAACTTTAAAATTTGGTCACAAGATGGCTGAGTAACTTGACACGGGCATACATTTTTTGTCCGATGTTTGATGCCGCACGTCTTTACATGCACCTTTGAGCACTGTAAGTGTCCTTAATGCTCGAAGAGCACCCGGATGTGGGTTAAACACAACAACACACTTGTTAATGAATATATATATATATACTTTGAAAGTTTAACCCTCTTCAAAGATGACGTCATGACACAACAGGTAGACTAAACATGGCGGCTTGTGGGAGCTTTCTTTGAGTCGGGAAGCTACTTGCTGTATCTCCGCTCTTGTTGCTGTGTCGTCGTGTTGTTTTGTTATCTTCAGCAAATTTGTCAGAAACTGCTGTTTATTCCGTAATGAAGCTCATCACGTGACACATTCGTTACATCATATGCAAGTTTATCAATTACATATATATTCATGACTGATAAATTTCTAAAGTGTAATGATATTTCAACTTTTCTTTTACAAGAACATTTTGATTTGATTTGGTACCTTTATTGTCCATACGGAAATTTGTCTTGCGTTGGATTTTAAACACAAAACATAACAACAATATTTTCCCACAACAAAATACTTCCCATCAACCCTATCCACCAAAACACATTATAAACTGTACTCAAAACATGATTCAAAACTACTGGGTTTTACAAATAGAACAACAATTAATTTTCGCCGAAAAGTCACAACTGTACTGAATTAATTTACCCCCGTCGAAAGACTGTGCAGCAAGTGTTCATCTGGTAACTTCACTGTTGAAGGAATGAATTGAATCCGGTACAAATGACTGTCTATAACGAGCTTTGTTGCTAAGGGGAACACACACGTGCAGTCCTGATTTGTTGATACTGTAATTATTAAATAAAGGATGAGATGGGTCTTGCGTAATACTGTTTACCTTGGACAGGGTTCTATCAATGTACAGACTTTCAAGGGTGGGTAATTCCAAGCCAATAATTTTTGAGCTGTTTTCCGAGGCCGATTTATTTTATCCCTGTTTTGCTTCAAATACAAATCAAATTAAATAGGAGTATAGACTAAATAAATGACTTTTCCATAAAACCAAAAGTGTGTTGTCCAAATGAAGTTTCTTCAGTGGTCGGATGAAAACATGCGTTGATTTACTTTCTTTTGTACAACAACTGTGTTACTTGACCAATCAAGATTACTGGTAATTTTGGTGCCCTCAGGTACTTGTATTCTGAAACCTGCTCATCTACACTTCCATGAATGGTCACAGGTGCATCATCATTTCCTTTTTTCCCCTAAAGTTCATAATCGTTTCTTTTGTTTTAATGACATTCAATTGCAAAAAATGTGTGTCGCACCAATCTACAAACTCATCAACGACTGAAAAGTAACGTTTTGCATTTGTCTCCTCCGAAAGATAACCTGAAATCACTATGTTGTCAGCATATACATGTATATGGACCTAAGGTCATAGATCAAGCTTTGTATTTAGTCGAACGTGTACTCGATGAGCTATGACCTCAGTTCGCTCTAGAAAATGTCCACTTTGCCATCTTTTCTGCTTTTTGAATAGCTGGATACTTTATTGACTAATAAAAGTCCCTGTTTCGCTACACCTATTTTGATGTGTATTCTTCCATTGTTATGAAATGTATTATGATGCTGTGCTTGGAGGAAGTACACAGGCCCTACATGTACATGCACGTAGCTTTGGTCATCAAGATGTGATTACAGAGCAATAGATGTTTACCATTTGCCGAACGATACCACATGCTGATTTCGTAATGAACGCGCTGATTAGATTAACCCGCTGACCTTTTCATGGATCTCATGCTGTTATTATCGGTTTGAGCGAGAGACCTTGAGACCAGAAGAAAAAACAGCAGGCATTGGACTATTTTGAGAGTCTTTGTGAATCATAACGTCAGATCCTGGTAAATTGTATCCATCTCCGGGTTAAAATAAATAGGATGGTAATACAGGTCAGTGATTGCAGGGAGCGTTTGGGAATTAGTTCTCATCACCAAGTTATCGGAACTTATGCAGTGTACTGTTGGCCTAAAAACCTACAGGCCTACCAATACTATATGTTTCATATAAACCTTTTCAATGAGCGATTTAACCCAGATTCTTAAAGCCTTCCACGACGTTATAGCTGTAACAACAAACCTCCGTTAGTGCTTTTACAAACATTGTTTCCACAAGCCAGTTTGAAGTCGACTCTCTCTCTCTGGAAAGTCTATTGAACTTCCCACACACACGTTCGATCCCGGGACACGGGGATCACTGGGAGAGGTTTTAATTAAGCCTGCTCCAGTCAAATTTGAAGTGTTTATCTTTAGCTTTGATAGCAAGCAAGTTTCCTCATTTTGAAGGGGGGTGCCACATGAAATTAGTAGCCGCCGGACCGTCACGCAAAACGAGTGCACTGTACTAGCTAGTAGTCTAACTGATTCCCTAGCCCGACACCTACTTGACGTACTTTTATTTTGCCGAAAGACCAAGATTTTGCAGACAAAACTAACCAATGGGGGTGACACCCCAGACACCCCCCCCTCCCAGCGACGCCCGAGACCCTCACGATTTGTTGAACGACGTTCAATGACACTGTGTCCTGATCCTGTGTGTGGTTACGCGTTTTCCTTCCTCTTTTCCCGGGGTTTACCTTTAACTGAAGTTATTGTCGCGTGTCAAATCTAGTTCCCCGAGATGCGATAGACTTCAAGTTTAGTCGCCATGACCTTGACTTCCAGGAGACAGAAAAAGATATGAGAGTGACCTCATGACCTAAGCTGTTAATCATGTGGCCATTTGACCAAGAACCCTGGGCAGATAATAATTCCTTGGTCTTGTGATTACTTATAGTAGCGGTATTGTATACACTTACGCGGTGGTGTTTACATTAGACCATAAACAGTTACCACAGCTGGTGGTCACTCTACCTCAACTCAAAACTAATTGGTCCCACGGTGGTCCCACAGACCATGCAGACACTGAGAAATCCTTTCTTGCTGTTACGTACCAGCCAGGACTTGAACTGGTACGCTTCCACGAAGTTACTTCTTGCCTGCTGTGTACAGACCGGAGCATTAGTGTAAACACGTCGGACGGTCTGACTTCGACGCATTGTGATTCGTAATCGATTGTTCCCAATTTCCATCGATCGATCGACTGATCCTAGTCCCATTATTGGTTGCAGCAGAGCTAACCTGTCTTCCCATGAAAGAACGCTTTTGCGTTGTATAAGATTACCTCAGTATCGGCCTCACAGCTCTGCAGTATTAGGTCTCCTGATCGCAACTTGGCTTTGTTCAGGTCGACAGTACTTCCAACTTCTCCAACGAACCAACAGCGACCTTGGCCAATAAGTCAGGTAAACGACGTATTTGTTTTATTATATGTCAGAATTGTGTTCGAATTATAAGTTTTCTAAAAATCCTAATACCTGAGGGAGAATTTGGTTCAAAAGATGTTCGGAGGAAACTGGTCCAAGTACAGTTTACACTTACACAGCCGCTGTGTATACGTCCTTGTGGTATTTTTAAATTCTTGTGTGTTATGTGAAGTAGTGCTTAGTTTTTATTTTGATTGTTGGGTTTCCTGTAGGCCACTGTCTAATAGCTTGCTCGTCCTGAAATAAAGACTCCAGAAAATGTCTGTCTGTATGCACGACCGGAGAGACAAAAGGTTGAATTTAGACCAAACTCAGACCACTGTCCAGATCTCAGTATCGTTTCCGCCTTGAGCCGCGTCTTATGTTCGTAAATCTTTCCCAGTTGTTTGTTATTGGAATTAAAATGAAAGTGCATGTACAAGTGCATGTACCCCAAAACCTTCAGTACACAGTCCTGGGTTTTCGTGTTTGAAAGCCAGAGCTTCTCATCTTATTAGGAAATCAAATGAACCCATCTTAATGACGCTGAGGGCAGAAGCCGGAGATGGAGTCCATGCAGGTTTAGCCAGGGTTTGTGGGGAACCCCCTTCCAACCAGCCTGAGCAAGACAAGATGTTTTTCAATAAGAAAACTTTCAAGGTTTACTTGCACGGTTTGGGTATGATTTCCTGGATAACGGGCTTCTGTGAATGCACTGATTGGAGTGCCACCTGTTTAATTTGATCATGACACCGGCTTAGGTTGAGTCTAACAGGATGCGTGTGGTATTTGCAATTTATGTTATGGAATGTGTTTATCTTCTGAAACTACCTTGCCAAGGTGCTCTGAACCCGACGTTTCGGAGCAGTTACATGTATTTATTCTCCCCATATGTTTGCAGATTTAAGTTAAGAGACCACCAAAAGAATTAAAGTTCTAGCGGATGCATTCCTGTTTCGCTACCGCGGGATTACCCCCTTCGTTGCACCCAGATGCCTTAGCTTGTATTGATTCTCGGAAATATTACTTTTCAAAGATTCTGGGACAATCAATGGGTCTTTTTTCCAGACTTGGAATGTATTAAGGATCTGGGCTTGACAAAATTAAAAGAGGTTCTCATTTACTGAAGGAGCTTTGCTTCAGCAGGTCAACTTATGCCTGTATAGAACTACAGCACCAGCAAAAGTTTTGTTCCTAATTTATTTAAAGGCAGACAACGTGAAACAATCATGGCGGTGTCTCAGAATAAACTAAGCTACAAGCGTCTCTTCTTCATTGTGATCGTATTGAGAGCCGTGCTAGCCAAGCCATCACGTCACACCCACGGGGAAGCATGGCCCGTTTCGGGAGTGGTACCGGTTCCCCCCGTGTCAGGCCATCACAGTGCTCTGCCGCATCGCCCGTGGTCACAAGGAAGGCCTTTGGCCACCCACAGATGCACCTGTGATGAGACGAGATTGTCCCAGACAGAGCAGGGCATAGCTGATCTGATCAGAAGAATGGAAGAGCTGGAAACGCAAAGTAATGAGGAGAGTGCAACCCTACTGACGCTGGAGGATTCGAACCACCGACTTCAGACACAGGTAAGACAATTCAATATACACAGCATCATAGAATCTTGAATTGTATTCTTCTGTATCTTAACGGGCTGATCCGCTACGCGTATTTTTCGGTTCTACAATGTTCTATTCACATTGGTCTGTTTGATGCCAACTTCGGTTAGACGCCTCTAATAAAGTGGATTTTGGTGGATAAAATAATACACGTACTCGCTTTAAAACTCATGAGACACTTGAGTTGCAAGCTCGGAGTTTTTTTGGGGGGGTGGAGCGGGGAGTTATATAATCTTGGAGCACTGATCATAACGTCAGACCACAACACAATTCCCATGGTCAGGCCAACTCGGGCGTACTGTCTGTTTTCCACTCAGATCTCAAGGGTTGTGGGTGAAAACCAGAGGTTGACACGGTTGAACCGGTCACTTCAAACCAAATCTGACGCTATGACCGAAGAGAACCTGCAGCTACGCGCCCAGAACGAACGTTTGCGTAACAAGCAAGACCAACCTCAACCTGTCGTCGATCGTCTCGTCGAGCAAGTCCACGACGACCCGGTACAACGCCAACGATCCTCATTACAGAACCTGAATGACATCATGGGTAATCGAGAGGCTGAACTGATTGAGATGGGTGTATTTCCACAAATGGAACCAGCAACGCCCGAAGGACCACCGATAATTCGCCCGGACCGCCGAAGAGGCAGCACTTTCTCTACTATGGCAGGTTCGGCATCGATGCTACCCGACTCAGAACAAATTGCGACTTCGTTGTTGGCTTTGAATCAGGAAAATGACAACTTGAAGAGAAGGGTAGGTTAAATTTAACTTGGAAATAAATCATATTAAGAGGTGTTGATGGTAAAATGACAAAACTAAGAACAAGTCCAATGCACTTGAGACTAGTTCAGTTTTTGATATTGTTAGCTCTCTATTTTTGCTCAGTGGTCGGTGTCGTCATTGTTGCGTATCACGTTGTTGGTAAGTGTTACTTTGTGCTTTGTTGCTGTTTGTTTACAGGCGAAGTGTCAGTATTAATTTGAAAGATTTTTATTTGTACAAAATCACAGATTGGACAGCTAGAAGAAAGACTAAATCAGCAAGGGAGACAGCCAGATCTGATGGGGCCCGCCCCTGGTATGCTATGGCCTCAGGTCCGCCCAACATCCCCCTCTGGCCAATCATCCAGCGAACTCGCGGAGAAGATCTCCCAGGTAGAGCGTCTCGTCCTCGTTGCCCTTCACCACAACCCGACCGGACCGTCAGCTGGCCATATCATGCCCCAGCCAAACATGGAAGAATATCCAGGACATCAGAGCAGGCCGGAGGGACCACTGACAAATGATGACCAGGAACGAGGCAGCGCAAGCCAGCCCACGCAAACGTTTAGCGTTCCAGCAACAGATAGTGTTCTGAGTGATGATGACCTAGAAGCCATGGCGGATGTAGTAGACAGAGTGCGAAACAAAAGTAAGGATTTTAAACTTCATGCATTACCTAGGTATCCGTCTAAGTTGTTTTTAGTGTCAATTCAATTCGTCATAAGAGCATAAGGAGAAAGGAGTGGCCATATTTAGGCCCTAATCAGGTTGGCGACAAGAGCCCTCGTTCTTATAGCGCCCTCATTACAAACCAGCTCTTGGAAGGATGTCTTCCCAAGATTTCCAGGTTCGATTCTAAATTCTTTCCTTTTAATCAACCCCTCTTTTTCTTCACCATGCACCACCATCAGGTCCAGCCAAGAGTGCCTTTTCTGTTGCCAGTACCGGTGTCACAGTCGGCGCAACTGATGATCCACGTGCCATCGAGTTCGACCACGAGTACGTGAACAAAGGCGGGGACTTCAAGAGGCGAAGGAGTCGCTTTGTTTGCGAGAACCCTGGTTTTTACTACGTTACATTCACGTGAGGAACGCATGTTTTACTGTGGTCTGGAGGGAATATATGTGTATGTGGCATGTGCTTGGATCAGAAAAATACACGCTGTTCTGTAACGAACGTTTTGAGACCAACCAAGCATTATTCCCGTTCACAAATTCCCTCTAAGCTCAACAATGTTACTTTTTTCAAATACATGTACAACTTTAGTCATGTTATGGCATTTTCCACCTGCGGGCTGGTGCTTTCTCAACCGTTTAACACCGTCCACGTGACAGGCTTTCCGTTAGGAATAGCTAATCTATCTTCGGTGAGCATGAATCTGAAATACATGTAATTATTACTGGGATGGGGGAAACAATTTAATGAAGTTGTCGTTACCTCTGTCCTACGCCTTTTTTGGCGTTAATTTCTCTCCAGGCTCCGTTCCTATGATAACAAGTACCTTGGCGTATCACTTATGAAGAACGAGGAACTCCAGACGGCAGTGTACGCCGACTCCAGCGAGCGTAACGTGATGCAATCCCAGGCCGTCATTCTTCACCTTGAGCCGGGAGATGAGCTGTGGCTTAGACACGCCCCGTCCGAGCACTTTGCCGTACATTCTGGGGAACATCGCTTCGTCACTTTTAGTGGGTACTTGATCTACAGAGGATACTAACCCTTTAACCAGGGTTGATGAAGAAGATCAAAAAGGCAAGGTTCTAAGGACTGATTTGATATTTTATGGTTCTTAATTTTGGCTTTAAAATGACGGCAAATATATCTACAAATATTCATCTGCCTGTTATCATTATTGCAATCAATAAAGTATAATTCATGATGTATTTTCAGTTTTTACTTTCACAGATTTCAGTTGCACCTTTTCACTTTTATATAAAGATAACGTGCGGTTTAATTTTTTTTGTCTGACTGACGTGGAGCAAAGTTCCAGGTTATGTGCTTCGAGAGATTTGGACACTTCAAGTTGTAGCGAGGACAGAGCAAGGCAACAGAGGATATTGACCTTGTGTAAACTATTTTTTCCAGACACAAAGTGTAAATATCACCCCATCATTATAAATGCAAAGTGTAATTGTGTAATTGTCAGAAATTTTACTACCTGGTCCTTTTTTTCACCCTCCCGTAATGTGTCACAGCAGAGGGCGCGTCCCTTGCTTAGCTGAAGGGGGCAACTGTGGTTCTAGTGATTTCAGAAGTAGTTATTACATGCAACCTCTCCATTAGAGAAAGTTCAGTGAATTGTTTTAACGAAACAAAACTACATGCGGCAGAAAGAGGGAAAATCACCGTTTTTACCAGTTTACTTTATTTCTTGTTACATGACATAAGCAAACAAGTTAACATGAACCTGCTGTGAAAAAATCCAAGCTCAAATATGATTTTGAAATCTCATCACAATTATTATAATGTACTTGTCAATTTTAGGCTGTTCTGCAAGGGGAATGGTAATTTGGCATATCATTTTCTGGAACTGCGATCACGTATTCGTGGGCATGGGCGAGTAATTTTATCCTATGCTGTTCCAAAAATTTGACAGGGACACTTTCTTTTCAAACTCACAAGATGGCACTGTTGCTTTCTTGTAACGTGGGGCGCGATTTATTAATTAATAAACGTATCATCAGAAAAACAAAGGGGCAATGTCTAAAACTCCAAATCAATCAATAAATATGGGCAAATATGTGGCTTCAATCTGATCACACAATTACAATTACTGAAGTTTAAAAAAACACAAAGTCGTTTCCGTTTCCTTTCTGGCTGATAACAGTTCCACTGGAGTGTTTATCAACACACTTCAGTAGACCTACTTATTAGAATAACCGAAATCTGTCAACCAGTAAAATACGGCATTACTGATGATTGTTATAAACTCAGATGAGGTCAACTGAAATTATCAACAAACTGCCACTCAAAGATTAAAGAGAACAACTCAATCCAAACGCAGATGTGACTATCCTTAGGATAATTCCGGTGACCTCTGACATCTACAATCTACACACAGCAAGGTGCAGATGAAGTTTATACTTCCCTTCCATCCTATAGCACCATCTATTTATGCAGCAGGTGATAAGAAACACTGCCAAAAACTAAGGGAAGAATGTTAACATCCCCAACCACACCAATATTCATGTACATCAGCAGGCCCCTTATTTACTGGACATTTCAGAGTCCAAGAGATAACCAAACTAGAGATGCAGTACAGAATGAGCTAGTTGAGTCTTTCAACAGCGTATGCCCAAAATGAAGCATGCTGAGGTCATTTGGACGTGCGTGTGTGGTCTGACCTATCAGCGCGGCCGTAAGCGCATGTTTCGTTCCCAAATGACCTTGCCTCTTTTTTTGTTATTGCGAACTGGCTCGCTGTGTCAGTAGGAAAAGGAAGGCAAACATTGTACAGTATCATCATCCAACACTATCATTATACACCAACAATCATTAATATAATACTTATTCGCGATGCCTCGTGATGCCACGCACTTCGGCACACTAAACATAAAATTTCAAATTCTGTTGCACATCCAATTCCAGATATAGTAGAGACTGTCATCAGCTGTCATCCAATCATATATTTTACACATTTCTCACAAATTCTACCTGCATTGACTGATTTCGTATACAAAAATAGCTATGCTACTCTACAAGGAATATACACAGAAGTTATTCTACAGCTCGGAAGCATATGTGGAAAGGCAACAGTGTACAAGTTACAACTCTACATATTAAAGAGGGTATGCATATTCATTATGGATATATTTGAATATTCATTATGGATATCAATCAGCCATAGTCATTAATGGTTTTTAGTCATGTGGTAGCCATATTTTGCATCTTACAAAAGTTACAGCTTTCAAGGTTTATGAACACTTCTGCAAAAGCAGTGAAAGAAGGCGCTATTTCAAGTCTGAGAGTTTTAACACAGAATATTCCTTCAAAAACATGCACACACACCGACTGGAAAGACTTGTTTCACTGACTACATGCATCTAAAATAAGCTTACAGTTACTGCTTTTATTACTGGTAACCAAAAGCAAAATACATGTACTGCAGTGTAATGCAGGGAGCCATGACAACGCGCAGTCACAGTCCCGACAATGCGAATTCAGGAACAGGATTAAGTCTTGTCACGTACAGTTTAGCCAGCCCTCCATGCATATCAATAACCTCTAGATTGCTTTATATCCTTGGCTTAGCACAAGGTGTAATAGCCACACAAAATTAACACACGCAGTTAATGATAAAATACAAACAGGTATCTTCAATCATGTAGCAATGAACTAGTTCACTAAACTCTGCCTTAGTTGAGAACAAAATTTCAAACAAAAAATGTTAAATTTTTATGACCCACTCAGCGGATATCCTGTGGTTTCTTATATTGCTAAAAGAAATCTTCAAGGGAAGCTGTTTATTTGTCAGAGTTATTTTCTGCAACTAACACATGCAGCAAGCGATAAAATGTGACGTTAGATTAAAACAAGGAAATCAAGAAATTTGAGACACTCATTTTCTTGAAGGTAGACTAAGTTCTTTTCAAGTACTTTTGTTTCAACATAAAAATGCAAACAAAATAGAAAATCTACATGATTGCAGCAAGTTCTATAATCATTTGTTTTACCAATCAATTTTTGTCTAAAAACATACAAACATTTAACACAAGAGCAACTGTGAAGCACACACAAACGCAGAAACAAAACCAAAACACTGAAAGCAGCGTCTGCTTACTGTTTGGAACTTTAATCTTCTCTACAAGGTGAAAGAATTTTACCAAACTACCATACTGCAGATGGAAGAAAGATTGCCTCAAGGTAAAATGTTTCACAGTTTACTTCATAAGGCAGGTATTAGTTCACCTGATTTGTGAGTAGAATTTCAAGATAGCATCTGTGATAAGTTTTTGAGACCCAAGCAAACGCATTATGAGATTTGATTCGAGTGGAACTTGAATTCGCATGGAAATCAGGCTTTGAAATCACATGGAAATCAAATACATCAAATTAAATCATTACTTGTCAGATTCGGAAAGAAATTTCGCTAATTGCCAAAAGCACCTGCCGATAGCACAAAGTAAGTTCGGTCAGTATGGCATACTACTGTACTTTCTGTTTATTATTTCAACAGAATGATAACAATCTCATGGACTTACATGATAATTTAGCTGAGCCACTGAAGGGTTTACTTACTACCAGGGGTATACGTTCACAAACCTCACATGAAATTTGGCAGCCTGTTGCTGGCTTCTGTTTTTTACTTGGGAGGGGAAATTAATAAGTGTCTTCATTTGCTACACAGCACAGTTGATTATTTACGGTATTATCAGGAAGTTTGTTATGGCTTGTTATTATAATTTGGCTATCTTAGCACTGATTTCTGGACTCAGATTCAAATTTGGGATTTCAGAGCACCATTTCAGAGACCACATTCCACAACAAACCCAAACCATCACAATGCATTGTTTGTGAGTTTCAGTTTTTCTTTTTTGGGGCATGGGTTTTTTATTTCTTGGGCACCTTTGGTTTAGCTCCAGTCTTCTCCACCTCAGCCATGTGCTTGGCAATGTTATCAAAGCTGTCTTTGCCCAGGTAATCAATCTGTCCCTTCTCCCAGTCCTGCTGGCGAGAGGCCTCGGATGAAGACCCTTCCCCTGTGGGACTACCCAAGGGACTTACCTCAAGACGAAGTTTGCCAAACTTACCGGACAAGTCAATTCCCTGCAACAGAAAAATCAAGCAATCAATACACCCTAAAACCTTCCTCCAAGGTAAGAAGTTGCTGATAAACATCCATTCCTGTTAATAACGACCCAAGAATAAGCTAGGCTGTTGTTCCTTATAGCTGAACAAAAGAAATGGGTAACCCACCTCTGCCATCCCCTGAATATCACACCGCTAGCCTACCAACTCCCCACTCAGGTTAGTCTGATGTGGTAATACCTTATATATCTTTCCACATATCTTTGCTGATTCAGATCCAATCTAGGCTGCCCAGACTGACAAGTGAACCACCTTTCTTTACTCGCTATCTGATCATGTGCGTTTCCCAAGAATATTTACCAAGGCTTTTCCGAGCAAAATCTACGGACTGATTTCCAAACCTGGTACTCTTTTCACGTGAGTGCATTGGAAGCTTCACAGTCAATAACTAACCACACAACAGCAGCTGCCGCAGGCTTCAAGTGCACTTGTCAGAATCACAATGTTAATGAACTCACCTGTTCCTCTTCGATATTGGGCCTGATCTTAGTAAGGAAGATATCCCACCATTTCCTCACATACTCGATATCATGTCCACTGTCCCCACTCTCGGGTGGTGCTAGCCAGTTGGTGCTTGGATAGTAGACGTACAACCATGGCTTGGCCGTGCCGATAAAGTGAACTATTCGAATCTCTTTGCCAAATCTGCAAGGAAGAGTATTACATAAAGCTGAGATATTGATGCACTAAAATGCAGGCTCTGGTAGGCCTGAGGGGGTGAATATGCCGCGTCAAGCATGGAATTACACATCCTGTCAACCAAGGTCACATACCCTGCTGTGAAACTATTTACAACAGAATGAAGACAAAAGTACATCACAGAGTGATGTTGAGGGATGGGGAGAAATCCACAAAGTATTTAGCAGGGGATCGTAACAATTACTCATTGACTCTTGAGCGCTTTAAACAGAAAAGGTTTAATATCTCTCCTATGGGTATGAATTGTAAATCCTGCACTTCCTTTATGTAAAGAGTCAAAACCTGTACGACGAAAACAAACCCCAAATTTGAGGATCAAAATTCTGAAATCTGGAAAATCTCAAGAATTCACACCCCATTTGCATTAAATTAGATTTGTGCCTATGTTTTGTCTGCTACAGAGACAATCTGAGTACTAAGCACCTGCAGTGGTTACAGGCTATACAACCCCAAACTCCAGCTTATTCATGGTTTGCCATTAACTTTGGCTGGGTATCCATCCAGGATATCGGTGACTATGTTGAAGATGACTAAACACTGATGCATGTGGCCTGTCTGATTGAGGAGTCAGTCACCCCAACCCAAGACAAGATCAAGAAAAGCTGTGGCGGAATGAAAGATGACTCTGCTGACCCACTGCCTCCCAGCTGATCAATGATGAGGGCAAGGTGCCATTTGACATACCTTTCTAATGCAGGTCTGTAGGTGTAGCTGATTGCAGATGTCATGTTATATACAAAGGGCAGATGGTACTTGATGTCTAGCGTGGCCCAATTACTGAAGTAAGTGTTTAGCAAGCCTTGATCGCCACCTGTCCATGTGATGAGACAAATTACATGAAGGAACACCACGGCAGTAAAATGTCAGCCTCTGTCAACATGTCAATTCTAAAATGCTTTGAGAAGAACATGATGCATCTTATCCTGCTACCAGATAATGCAAGTTTGAATACCAAGCTTTCCTGCTTGCTTTGAAATAGCTGGTGAAAAACATGCACACAGTCTGCAGATATCCACAAACCTTCTAAATTTTGTAGAAAGACCTTTAAGGTACACATAAGTGAACCTTTCATATTACATGTATAATGAGAAAAGGTTGAGCAAGGCTATAAACATCGATGTTCGGGACATGCTGAGATATCTGACTTCCTCAAATGATCCACCCAGAAAGAAACTGCAAATGTCATTTCCTGAATTCCTCTAATCTTTTTGTACACAAAAAAACAACCTCTGTTTCCTTTGATATTTTTCAGCGGTTTCCTAATGTTGAAGTCAATTCCTAAACTAGGTACAGGAGGGTCCCTGGATTTTGGAGTTTTCCTTATTCACAAGATTATTTCCATGTCAGGCTGTGATAGAGGAACATGTACCTATCGCATGTACCCTAAATTCACCCCACAGCGGCCATGGTCAGCACATTGGGTGATTTTTAATGCACTTTAGCTATTTAGAAACTGAACTTGACCTCTGCTTGTATTTTTCCAAAGGCCCGAGTCAGTCAACTGGTTAAGCAACTCGGCCCATACTTCATATTAAAGAGAGCTTTGACAAAAAAGTAATCATTTGCGTACACAGACGAGTAAAGTACCCACTGCATTTCAAATTAAAAAAAGAAAGAAAGAAAACCCTGATATTCTGTAACACCGCACAAACTTTGATCTCCATTGATCTTGATTGAATTCTAGCAGACTTAAAGTACATCAAAGTTATCAACTTGTTGGACTTACCATCAAAACTACCCTGTGTTACTGCGCACTGTAGTAAGCCTTGGTACGTCTCTTCCGAAGGGCAGAAGACAAAGACACCGGAGTTGAAGATGTCTGGCCAGCCAACATCTGGGGCGGCTGAAAACTCCTCGCGATCAAACAGATCATCAACATTTTGAAGAACCTGATGAAATTTGACAAATCTGTTCATTCTGCAGTAGTCCTCAAGAAAAAAAAACTGTCAAGAAAACTGCAAAACATCACAGTCTTCATGCTTGACCTGTTGCATTCAAGTATTTGTGGGAGTTCATGCTCAAAGTACAGTCAGTAGGGTTTGGTTGTAAGAATGTAGAAAGCTTGCTCCCTGTAACAGGCTGCTGCTGTGTAGCAATGAAGTCCCGTGATTAGTCAAGATATTTGGGGGTGGGACAATAATGTCCATGAAATTACTTATCCTGAGGTAAATGTACTTGACTTCAATCCTACACGTAGCTGGAATCTTACCAAGCAGTCTGCATCCAAGAAGACACATTTCTTGAAATGTGTCAGCGTCCAGCAATGAATCTTAGTAAAGGTGATGCCTAGCTCAGGTCTGGTCAACATGGCAAGATGAGCCGCGTCCTGGCTATCGAATGGATCTACCTGCTGAATGACGTCATAGATGAAGGATAACTGCCTCCTAATCAGAACCAGGAAGACAAGCACTTAACAGTCAGACAGGATTTCATTTCCAATTATCTCTGAAGTATGTAAACCACTTAGCCTCAAATGTTGCAGGATTGAATGAAAATGGACGAAAAATGACCTTGCCTGCAAGACAACAGCATAACTTCATAGCATACTGAAGTTTTTTCCTGATTTAATGAGTCTCAAAATAAAAATGACTGGAGTAATGGTGACACTTTACAAAGCCTGTGACTTACTGAAGAATTTTTACGTCTCCAAAGTGTAAATAATATGATAGTGGTACCAACACTTTTATCAATATTATTAACCCTAACCGCCAAGCATATTGTTTGGCTTGTACCTAGCGCTACAAATTACTACTTCTGGCTAGGTTACTTCCATTGTTACTCGTACAGAGAACAATAAAGCCATGCATTCATAGTACCACAGCACTGTATGTTACATTGTCTTATCTATTGTATTTTATGGCTTCAGAGAACAATAAGGTCATGTCCTCTTACAAGCGAGGGCGCTGATTACTACATTTTACTACAAGTAGTAATCTACAGTATTATGTAGGGTTAGGGTTAACAGTGTTGAATTCTTGTAGCAACAGAAAACTTTCTCATGAAAGCCTTAAACATTCTCTTCTGCTTTACAAACACTCTTGTTATTTCACAATGTTTCTCAAAGCTTGTTATGAATACACCCTACATACTTGACCTCAATTCAATCACATTCCCTCTAACGATAGACATCATTGGCAAGCAGTGAGTTTAACGTTGGTTTAGCATTAATTCTGTTTTCATACCTCATTGGCTGGCTGACTTGTTTTGTTACCATGACGACCAGTTGCCTGGTTGTACCCACATCTCGTAGAGACTGACCAAGGACAAGAGCCCCATACCCATACGAATCATTGGTTGTCAAGGTAACAAAGGCTTCATCCTCAACTAAGTAAACAACAAAGCAAAGCAAAAACTGACAGGTAAAAATGCCCAAAAAACAGTTAACAAGTTATAACTATGTAAATATCTAGAAGCTACTGGCTTAAGCTATTTGTCCCTTGTGTATTTATAAGTCAGCAAAACTTAACAACATACAGATAACAGGAGCCAATTTCATAGAGCTGCCTAAGTACAAAACTTGCTTAAGTGCAAAAAAAAAATTGCTTAAAAAACAAAGGTTACCAGATCAAAATCTATGTGATTGTCAGGCTAACCAAAAGGCAGGTGATACCGTGAATACCATCCCAAAATAACATACATGTAGATCACATGGATTTTTGGCTGGTAACCTGATTTGTCCAGCAAGATTTTTCACGCTTAAGCAATTTTTGTGCTTTAAGCAGCTGCAGACAAGTTTTAAATATTAACATTTGGCATATGCTCTGCTTGGTCAAAATTTTCAGGAATTTCTAAATCACCTTTCCTCCAAAAAATTTAATAAAGGACAAGAGAAAGTGATTTACATGTATATTAAAAGCTTTAGATCAGGAAAAAAACCTGAAAAATATCAACCACAGGTTCTGGGAAATAAGGAAATGGTATGGTTTAAAAAGTGCATTTCATATAAACCAGTATGAATAACTCAGCTGTTCCCCAGAGTCTTTTCAAAAATACCCACTTGCCTGAGTTGCCTCAGGTGACATTCAACACAACTCCGCATTTGGCTGGCTTTCCACATGGCCTGCATACATGTAGATGTACATGGACAACACCCACGTACACTGTACATCTGCATGTAATGGCCTTGCATCATTAAAAGTGGGCTGTCTTTCATGTTGCTATGGGTCCAAATCCTATATGCTCAGCCAAAATACACCCATGATCATGTCTCCAGACAGTTTAAGCTCAAATGCTAATGCTAACACTTCATTTTATAGGCGAGTTGGGGAAATAAAGTGATTTTTGCTGAGAATAATGTACATGTGGCCTGGCCTCCATATGGAACATGAATTAAACCTGTCACTTCTCATTGTTTACATGTTCATTTTTCACAGATATTTTACTGATGAATTGATGGTTAGAATTATAAAAGGGACATCTGATCCATCTATTTTGGCCAAGGGCTGGATCATAATTACCTAATCTATGGCAGGTATTTACATGTAAACTGTACAAGGACTGACCCTGTGCTGTCAATGCAATGTGCTGTTTCAGTTGAAATTTTGCATATTATATCACTGAGGAGTGCATAGGGCATTACTGATATGCCTGAACAAGTGACCGCTCAGTGAGATAACTCAGGAAGACGTATTCATTCATACCAATAATGGTACGATGTATGGAATTCGGTCTACAACACAGAAGTGCAAGCAAAGAATAGTGCAGTTTTTCACTGGCGTGTTACATGTTCACTGTACATGTACGTCTATCCATCATGAAGGAGCATGACCTCAGTGCAATGATACAATATGATGGGTGATTATTACTCGGGATTCGGGTCTTTCATCTGGACACGTGAATAATTTTTAACGTGTACATGCAGATTTGATACATTGTGTGCAACTTTCTACTTCCTCCCTGTTTTTCAGTGAAACTGTTGGAGGATGGTTGGTCTGGGTCATATTTTTTAAACTTCACGTTTTCAAAGCTCAAAAATTACAGGTATGGCGACAGAATGTTATTTTCCAATCAAGTATATTTACAAAGATGACAAATCCATGTAACTGTTGGTCACAATCAGTCGATACGTAAGATCACTTGATCTTTGTGTGATTTGTCCCTTGTACTAGTGCATGATTGGTTGATAATTACTTTTTCTTTGTTATTCATGGTTAAGACAGACTGTTCCCAAAATGGGAAGTGAAGTCAGAGATTTCATGCAGAATTGACCAATTCTGCAGAGCGTTTGGTCGATTGATCATGCAGATCAAATGATTGCACCCAACACAATCATCTGTGGGACCTATCGGCATGATCACGTGATGCCAGTTCAGAATAAAGAATTTTGGTGACTTTAACATGTTACAGCACTGCCATTGCCACAGAATATAAGCCTAGGTACGCCCATGGATGGCATGGTACACCTATAACTTCTTACAAATTAAATCCTCTACTAATCGTCTATTCTCTGGCAAACACCTGATGAACACAACCATAATATTAGCAGCATTGTCGTGACTGTAGTCCAAGTAACTTGGACTCTACAAATCGTCTTTTTTAACATCTGGACACGGCTGGGTCTACTAGTACTATCGCCCGACCTCTGTAGAGTCCACGCTTGGTCAAAGCTAGGCCTACTTGGACCGGCTACCATGACTACAATACAAGTTGAAGTTGGTCATTTCAGAGAATTCACACACCCATCCAGGCCTTGGCATGATCCGGGTCAAAGCTTCACCATTAAATGTGGACCTGTTTCCTTAAATGTCACATACATGTACATGTACAATGCGGATGTGTTACCACATACCACAACACAAGCGATAAAAGCCGGCCCATCCCCGTTATTTCCTCATTCCTGTATTGCTAGCAGTACTGGCTGTTTATTAACCAAGCCCCGCCCATTTCCAGGCATTGCCTGAAGGCTGTACAACCGTTAAACATATCGCCGAAAGATGCTGCATTTTGTTAATCAGAATGACTCAATTGTTGTACTAGACGACCGTTACTCTCCTGAAGAACTTTCAAGTGTTTATCTACTATCAGATACACAATACGTAGGAGATGGAATGCAAAAATAACGAAATTTCCGGGGCTTACCTTTATTCCTTAGAGTTGCCATCTTGACATGCCACGAATAACTGGAATTTTGCACGTCCGCTCGCTAGCTGAATGGTACCAGCGAATACTGCTTAAATACAATGGACTGCGTAGGCAACCAGCGACACTTTCCGGCACATGTTTTATACTGGTACGTGCAGGTTTTGATCGGATATGAGGAAAACGGGGCGTTAATTTCGAATACAGGTGGGGGACCCCACAACATTAGCTGTAGGCTGAGAAAAAAGGTGGCAACCATAAAATGAAGTAGTGATAAAAGGAACATTCAATGACATGTGAGGAAGAATGTGGATTATACAAAGTATTACAAGAAATGATTTGTCTTAAACTCAAAATAAAGTTATCTATAATCTAATGTTAACCCCTTTTTATGATGGTCAAAACCAGTAATTTATCCAACCCCCCTTTTTATGGCGATGTTCCTGTTTTCAATTCACAGAATGAAGCAAAGCTTGGACCATGAAAAGTTTCCAGCCGTCCGAGGACTACCAGGCTACCAGCCCTCCGTTTCAACTTGAAAGTCGCAATATGATTCCAACGGGATCATGACTGTCTTCGTACATACACTTTACTCGTTGAGAGGCTTGTGTGACCCGCTGTAAAGAGTGAAGTTTCGAACAAAGTGAATCAAACTTCTTTCCCACTTTTCTTTGATGGATCCAAATGTTCAGTGTTCAAGTTCTCTGTTTAGTGCGAACATAGTATCAAAGCTTGTATTTCTCAGTACCTTACAATTCCTGTTACTGTGTACTTATAGCGTTCAAGTTGTCGTCACTGAACGGATTATGGCATTGTATTAAATAATATTCAGTTGTAACCATAATTTTGTGTTTCGTGTTGAGTCTGACTTACGTTTTCATAAATAAAAGTCCAGCTCTAGGCGTTTGAAACTTTTCCGGGAGGCACGCTCAATTCAAGCGCACCAACACGTAAAGACTATCCGAAATAATGTGAAACTTTTCTTAACGATGACGTAACTGCGGTCACCGGTGGCGGGAAACACGGGCATTGCCTTCAACAGTTACTGAAGAAACCAGACTATCGCCATTCAAACACGCGTTAATCTCACTGAGAGTTTCTTGTAGTACACTTGATGCAAGACCAGACTTGTTTTTCAGACGTTTCGCTCAGCTGATTTCCAAAAGGTACTTTAAAAACAAGTTTAAAATTAGTTTAATAGACAGTTTTGTGTATTTCTTTCTTGTATTCCTGTTTGAAGTATGTATGCACATCAATTTGTTGTGATTTTTTAGGATTTAATGAGGCGTAATTATACAGTTTTGTAGCAGTTTGTAGTGCGAAATTTTATCGACGTGTTAGTACTGGTACTAGTCAGGTATTGTGTTACTGTCTATACGAGTGTACATGTTGAACATGTTCAACTTAACGTAATCTAGCCTGTGTGATATGTGTGCAGCGTAAGGTGGGTTTAACTTCCGGTCATTGTTATGATCAGTGATGACTGTTAATTGTGTAGTAGGCTTAGTTTAGCACATACATGTAGTTTAGTCATGGTTTTGTGAACGGAGGGGGTAGTGAAAAGTCTCCTTTTTTTATGCTTGTGGAAATGATGAAAGTTATGGCTGACCCCTTATAATTGTACCATTTGGTTCACTAAACCGTGACTAACAAAGCTGTATTGTTACTATAAAATGTTTTATAATGGAAAGTAAAGTAGAAGTGAAGTGAACCATGACCCCCCTTTTTTCAGTCATGTCAGTGTATATTTTTCACATTTTATGACCGAGCTGCCTTACCAGTTACATATTTAACTAGGCTTTTCCAAAGGGCCCCAAAACACGGTGATGTCAACAAGCGTCAACACATACAGCTAGCGTCAACAATGCGAACGTACCAAACCTTGTAATCAGTGTCCTTAAATGCCTGTATTTCAGTACACAAAGCTGCTATTATCTACAGACTTAGTTGACAATACAGTTTGACTTACTCAAGCATCAAGGTATGCAGTCAGTAAAGATAGGTACATTAATCTGTGCGTGTATTTCTGTTAATTCTTATCGACTCGCAGAGAAAAAAAATTGTCAACTTATAAGCATATAAGGACCTATGATGGACGAGCTTGACGTTTTTTCAGCAATTGTCCACAAGAGGGATATTCCAAGCAGCATAGCTCAGACTGCACAGGAACTCTTACACACATGGAGATGTCAACGTAACACTGATACAGATCCAGAATTGGCTTCATACGCTGTGTGTGCTTTGTTCACTGCCAGCATAATGCACAGGTAAGACCAACAGCTGATATCAATAATCGACAAGATGAGAATATTGCCCAACAAATGTAAATACATTTATTGGGCAGTATTTGCTGGCTTCGCAAATGTAAACTGAAAATACCATCCGGGTCAATGACAATATTACACATGTAATGCTAGTAAACTTGAAGCTTAGTGTTGGGCTGTGGCTTTGTGTTATTCCTTTTTGTAACGATAATTGAGTCATAAGATGCACAATAATGCAACCCATGCGGTAATGGATCTATTTTTAATCGTGGCGGCTGTACTCATTAATGACGTGCAATTGGCACGGTCCCTTTTTTTTGCGATAAATTAGCTGGATCATTGTTATGTCATCATGCTGTTTATAATAACATTGTTGTAGGTTTATAACATTTTTAGAAAGTGTAGATTCCCGTCAAAGTCTTGGGGATATTCTGATTGTTGATTCCTTGGAGGGAAGTTATACAGGTAGTGTTGCGCGGACAACCCTCGTGCTGTTTCAAAGGACGCTGGCTGACGAGACTTCATGTATCACTCGTCACTCAAGAATCTTCCAAAACATACATGCAATTATATCCAATAGACACTCTGGGAAGCCGGGGTGTTTATTTGTTGAGGGCTTCTATGGGGCAACCTTCTTTCCTCTACACTTAAATAAAACTGCCTGTTACGAGTTAATGACCTAGCACAAACCAGTTTAACAGCCAAACACCCAGTGTTGTGTGTTTTGGGTGTGATCAGTCGATTTGGTTTTGCATTTTACATTTTACATTTTTACATTTTTCTTTTTTGACTCAGAAATGCGGAGAATCAAGAGAGCATTCCTGAAGGAATTCCAACACTGTCTGACCTTCTAGAGGCTGGATATGTGCAGTAAGTATGAAAATAATAGCAGAATTAGAATACCCTGTTATACTACTACTACCAAACGACTGATCACACCCAAAACAGGAGGCATGTGTTCTAGGTGATACTATGCCCTTGAGAAATATAATTGTAGTAATAGTAGTATAACAGGGTATTCTAATAGCATAAGATACTTTTTACCTATATTTTGTGCTATTAGAATACCCTGTTATACTACTGTTACTACAATTATATTTCTCAAGGGCATAGTATCACCTAAAACACATGCCTCCTGTTTCTCTTGTACTGTGATCGAGGTAGCAAGAATTTGTCATTTTGTACATTAGTTCACATGCGATGGAATAGTTGTAACGACGCATCAGAAAATGTGTTTTGTACACCTATTATGTAACAAATATTGGATCAAATGCTGTTTCTTTTCACGTTATGAATCCGTGTTCTCATTTTTCATTTTCCTTGTCAGCATCAAGCATTTTTTTGACCGGATGGGGAGGTTACAGTCTGAACACAGTTTTCATCAGTCTGTCAAGCCAAGCCTGAAGGCAACCATGCAGAAATACTGCGTAACAAGTGCACTCTATCACAAGTTTCAACAGTGAGTTGACAGCTAGTTTTTTCCTTTCTCATGCTCAGGGATGTGCTGAATATTCGATCAGTTATTGAATATTCAAATATTATTTTCCAAAATTCATGAAAAGGGAGAATTTTCTTTTATGTTAAATGAGAAAAATGGCACTGTTGAGGCTTTTTTAAGCAGATTCAAATGAAGCTGCAGAAATCTTACAGTGACTCCAAAAGTAAAATATTCATTAAAAATTTAACAGGAACAGAAATTTTCAGCAGGGCAAGAAGTATTGTTTGTCTCTTAAATCTTGCTAAATCATGGCTAGAGATACTCCTAGACATGAGAAGCTATTATAGTGATTATAATATACCCTTGTGTGTTATTGCAACTGATAATCATCAACAAACTGCCAGTCAGTAAGACTGAATATTCAGATATTTGATTTTGATCAAATTGAAGATCGAATATTCGACTAGTGAATTATTCGAATTGACTCAGCCCTATTCATTCTATTTGTAAAAGTACAGACATCTGATAACACTGCCATTACTTTGTATAGTTCCCAGTTTTTTGTTGTTTACATTAATGTTCATGAGCATGGAGTAAGTCAACAATCAACAAAACATGACAGCTGTGTTTAACTTGGCTCACTAACCCCTCCCATGCCTAGTGTACTATTCCTTTTTTTCTCCTTATTGCTGAGGTAATATTTTCTGCCAGTGCATCATCTATTAACAGCTGAATAAAGGGATATACCACTGTTATAAAATTTGGATTGCTGTCTTGATACAAGGCCTCACAGCAGTCCCCTTCTATTTCAGCCACTCCTCTTTTCTTTGGATCAGCTGATTTCCTTGATTTTCACTTCACACCCACGTCAGTGAAAATTGAAAAAAACACTTTACAGAGTCTTAGATTGGAATTTCCTTGTTTTATTGTCCAAGTATTGTCAATGTCCAAGTTGCATGCATGCTATCTCCTGCTACTTGTTGACAAGCAGTTTCAGAGTATTAAAACAACCAAATCAAAGCCTAGGAAAGTATCAGTGTTCATTTTGTCAAACTTAATTTAACTGAAACAATTGTTTACCTTGTCTTTGTGTAGGCTTCTGCAGCAAGTCTTCACACATGACCCCGGTAGTCCATTAACTTCTGAGATTGATAGGTCAGAGGTCAACCCAGCTCGGCCCAACCGCAAACGCATCTGTTGGACATTATTTCTCCTTGCGAAAGGTTAGTCTCATGGGTGTCAGACATCACTTAATTTCTTCTTAATTGATTTTTTTTTCAAGATATTCCTTGTCTTCGTTACATTATGTATTTCAAATCGCTGACATTATTATCATGGTTTGTAGTTTCCTATTTCGTTGCCTTCAGGGAGTTTACGGCAAGCAGCTAACGAGCTAGTCATGCCTCTTCATCTTCTCATCTGCTGCATAGAGTACATCGTCAAACTCTCCCCGGCTTTTCTGCTACAAGAACCTTTCTGTAAGCAGTTTAACAGTAAGCTCGGGGGTCACTAAACCCAATAGGTTGACAAATTTACTGTTGAAAAACATGTTGCACTGTTTTTACTGTTTCAAGCACACAGAGATCCAGTACAGCCAACTGACAATGACATTATTGTACAGTAACAAGACGTTGCCATGGAAAGGCCATTTTCACAGTGCATTATGGGAAAAAGTCAACAAATTTTATTTACCAGCTGCAAGTTGGAAACATGAAATACACTTTTGAATCTTCTCCGACAGACACTAGAAGTAATTCAAGTCACAGTTTTGATAGAATGTTCCAATCTATCAAACTGTTTCCAACTTATCTACTGACATACACTCAAGTGCAAATCGCGGCAAGGTAGCCATTCTTTTGTTGACTGTAAACTTGAAAAAAAATGGCTTCTCCGTGGCAACCTGTTTGTGGCGGACTGTAATGCTGAACCAACCCTATTCATCTTCCAGTGCCGTCTAAGGATAGATTCATTTCAGGTATCACACCAATTAAACTAAACTAGTTGAGATTTATTTCAATTTTGTATCATATAGGCCTCTTTCTTTTGAGTGGGAATAGCAATAAAGATAAATGTAAAAGATTTTCCTTTATCGTAAGTAGGGTAGTGCTGGGATTTCAAGTTGACCCTTAACCTCATGTTTACCACAATTCACCCTAATAAATGGAAGTTGTACATTAGAATCAAAGTTTGTAACCTCTGCATCAGCAGATTCAGCCCATTATTCTCAAGAATCAGAGGATGCCATCCTGCACGTATTATGTGAGGAGATGGGTTGCCTTGATGACATCACTGATGTAGCGTCGGTCCGAGAAGCTTGCCTGGTCCCCATTCTGGGGGCTATACCCAGAGAGAGACTGAACCAAGGATTGGAGGGTTTGCCGGAGGTAAGTGTTGCTCAGCTTTGGCAGTGCAGATTACACTGTCTGGGTTAAGTAACGGCTGTGGCTGCAAATAACACACAAGCTATTGGCAGCCAGTGGCAAGCCGCTGAACCACTTCCCATAGACTTGTATGTTACTTCCAGCCATAGCCAGTTGATTGGACACAGCCAGAACTGAGAAAGAAGACATTCACATGTGTCATGTTGCAGAGTACTAGCAGGTATTTTAATCAGTGTGTGCATAAATTCTAGCCTTTGGATTTCTAAACCACATGTTGTGGCTTCATCATTTACCTCGCTGCTCCAGAAATAATTATTTTCACAATATTACAGAGTTGACTAACACTGCACAACAACATTTCTGACCCACTCTGTGAAAATGAGTCACAAGTCGGCACAGTCACTTTGGAGTAAAAAGTCCTTAGAATGATTTTGCACAGTGTAAATCAATAGGAACCCACTGCATTTTTCACCATGGAGTATCCACTTTCACCAGTGTGCCAAACTGAGTGATACGTCAAGACAAAACGCTCAATTTGCTCTTTCTAATACAAATGAAAACTCAAAAAGTGGCTCTGGCGACTTAGGACTCATTTTCACAGAGTGGGTCACATATGTACATGAGGTGATATTTACACAGATAAACGTTCAGCACAGATGAATTTTTCACACAATTTCAACACGCTCATTTGCTTATTTACAGTTGAATTACATAAATCACTGTTTTCTTTACACTCATGCAAAACTTTTTTATCTCTTAGTGTTACATACATTTCAACTGCATTTGGATTGAAATGTTCACACATACAAGTATAGGTTAGAAGGTTGAACGTCTGCAGTTCTGTGAATTCTCATTCGGACGTTGTCCGTGCATTGAAATAGTCTTGATATCAGAAGTGTAACCGTCTCAGATCATAAAGAACATTAAGTTTAACCCTAACAGCCCTCAATCCTTCACCTGTTGGAGGACTGAGGACTGTTAGGGTTAATTGATGAGTTTTTCTAAAGTGTACACATCCCAAGCATAAGACAGGACACTGTTTTTCCTAATGAATTATGGATAAATGCAAATTGTTAATTGTAAAGTGATCTGTTAACCATTTAGAATGTCCTATAAAGTCAAATTTTAAGTGAAATACAAAAATATTCACATAGAAAAGACCTTTTCAGGTCTTTCTCATAGGCTTTGTGCACAGGGTGTCAAATGGCATCCATGTGGTTTTCTTTCCTGTAATTTTTGATTTATTGCGCAGATTATGGTTTTTAGATGCAGGTTGATTTTTAGATGCACACTTTCTAAGGTGTATCAACTGGTTGGTTATACGTTCATAGCAGAATCTAATTGTATGTTCCGGTTTAGTTAGTGTTAAATTTACACCGAATGACCTTCTGGAAAGATGTACCATAGGACCTGAGAAGGGCTTTAGTTGCTTGACGGAACTCTTTGTTTCTGAGGTAATAGATGACTGCATTTAGCCAGCTGTTTGTCAGAATGGGCAATGCAAGCAGAAAGAAGGTATAATAACTATTCATATTGTCTAGATTTAAACTCACACAAAGTGCAGGAATGATACTGAATAGGAAGGCAGCTAAGACCATCAGCAGCAAGGTGTGTAGGGTCTTCTTGGTAAGTGTGCCAGGAACCTGACCATTTTGAGCAATCTCATTGTCAGTGTGAATACGCTGTGCATGACGACGTGTAATCATGAACAGTCTTGTGTAGGCAATCAGGAGTGTCAACAAGCAGAGAAGTATTACAGCTATATACAGTATGGCAAAATATGTCTGGATCCGAGATTTGTCATTTTTGCTGCTGAAGTAACACATAAGGACTGAAGGTAAATACTCAGTATGCCAGTTACTGATGATGCCAGCTCCAGTCATCAGTGCCACAGTTAGACTCCACACACAACACACAGCAATTCTTGCTCTCTTTCGTGTGACAAGAGAATGGTAACGGAGTGCATACACCACGGAGATGTAACGATCGACTGTCAGCAGAAGCAGTGACAGTAGAGAACCCAGAATAGAACTGAACATGGTGAAAGACTGTACTGCGCATAGTGCTGTCCCAAATGGCCAGCGTTGTGTCTGCAATGTAACTGTCATTGGCAGAGCCATGAAAATCCCTACTCCCAAATCGGCAACAGTCATGGACCTCAAAAATACCTTTGTGGTGTCATGGATGTTGTCCACATGCCTCAGAACAAGAAGACAGAGCAGGTTGAGTGTCAGAAGCAGAATTGATGATAGTGTGAGAAAGAAACATATGACCCTGCTGCCGAGACTCATTGTATTTGCTGGTGGTGTACTCATATTGTAGCTTATCTCAGTGATCAGTGCTTGAGTTGAATTCATGGTGGACATGACGTGAAGCACAAATTTTGTCCAGTTTACACACAATTCAAATGCTTTGTCAGGTCAAAGTGTGAAAGTGGTGCCCGGGTTGGTGGCTTAATCCAGACACCAACAGCTCACTCTGCAGTATGTGCTTCTATGAGATGTTTGAGGAATTCCATGTTGTCAGTCGCTAAACACAAATTTCATCTAAGATTTTAGACTCAATGAGAAGTAGATTGAAAAACATTATGAACCAATCTTGTACGCCTCTTGGACTGCACTAGGTGATGTGATGGTGGGATGAATAAAAGTGAAATTGGGTACAGCATCTGTCCTGTGATCTGCACTCACATTATTTTACATAAATTATAGCCAAGTCTTGTGATTGGGTAGCCTCGATTTTGCCAAGGATTTGCAACGATCTCATTGGCTTGTTGTCACTTGGGCCTTATGTATGCAATTTGATTAAGCTTAAATGACCCCATAGGACCATCCATTAAACACGGCACATTGATGGACAACTTAATTGAAGTGGTGTTCCACTTTGATTTGGCAGGGGTCTATTACTGTACATGTATGTTAGCAATGATTGGAGTTTTTTCCTCGGCCACCCTCAGCTTATAGAAGAGTAAAGTCCCTCTTCATTTCAATAAACAATGACCCTGGTCCACATCCTGTGATTGTCAATCATGTTTTGCACTGTCCAGAAAGCTACACGTAGGCAAGTACACTTATAGGTGTATTGGATTTTAATGAGCTGCCAGTTTCTGGTATACATGTGCATTGTAGTTATTTGTCATCTTTAATGGAATGATGTTTGTCTCTCTGTTTGTCTTTCATTGTGTGTCAATCACCTGCTATGTGTTGTCTCAGGAGCGACCTGTAGCCCTCTGTTTACTCAAAAGTGATTACAGTCGATCATACCGTAATTCAGTTCTTGTTCTTGGAGTTTGGAAAATTCATTCAGGGCAAGGATACATTTTTGGCAGTGCCTACCCTGTAAGTGTTAAGAGAAAAGTCACAAAAATCGATGTTAAAGGGGCTCTCTTGCTTTGACTGTGAGTCACAATGTATGCAAATTTGAAGTCTGCCTGCATTTTCTTGAAAGTGGACTTGAAGATTTGCTTTGATGTTCAGAGCTGTGTTGTAGCAAATTGAGTACAAGTGGAATATCTGAAATAAGCAACTTTCAATATGAAACCCCTTCCCACTTACCTATGATAAGTTTCCACCTGCCTCAAGCTTCGTTTCCAATATTGCATCATTGCATTTCACTATGATCAATTTCTCTCAGCTTGAGTTCTTGCAAGAGCAATATCAGCTCATGTATATGACAGCTGGCGACATCGATGAAAGGTTGTTCCTTGATACCACCTCGCACCTGTTTGTGCAGAAGGTTCCAACCTCAGAGCCCCCTGCTTCCCCTGACAGCAGTCGAGAGAATGACGCCCCCTCAACTGCAGTGATGACTCCTGTGAAGTAAGTTGTGGTGTTTATTGTAGGCAGAACTTCCCTAGAGGGTAATACGGGCAATGTACAATAGTGCACTTCCAGAGTTTGTAACTCGATCGTCTATCACAAATTGTAAAATCTATCGACCCTCATCAACTCATGACTCACTCATGACCATCACTCATCAAACTGACTGCACTGGAAAGAAATTTTCAAGATGACAAGAAATTCAAGTTTTTATGAGAAACTGACGTTACATAATACAGTAAACTCCGACTAAGTCAACATTGCATAACCCGTCATATCGTCCAAGTCGGCCGTTTCACAAAAGTCTCGATCGTCTGTAATGTATTTCCGTTCAAAATTTCATTCCTAAGTGGGCATTTATACGTCGTCATTTCGTATATGTCGGCATGTTTTTCTCGGTCCCTGTTCCACTAAACCTCAAAAATTCCTATGTGTAAGTTTGCATTTAAAAAAAATTGTGCTTCAGTATCGGTTTCCTTTGCCAAGAAGTGCCAAGTGACAAGTCCCATACGCACTCGGCCAGCATGAGTACATCAATACCAGTAATCCCTCTCGTGCTCCACGCATGGGCTCTGTCCCTTTTGGGAGTCGCCTTATTGAACATAGTCTGGTTCCCTGCCCAAAGATTCCCTGACGACCCTTGATAATGATTCGCCGGGTCAGAATCATCAGGTCTGGTATCCAGACTATATGGAACGAACTTAACCAATGCGCGTGTGTGGATGAATGTGTGTTTTTTGTACCATAACTGTGTCACGTACAGGTATGCACTGCACTTTCGATTCGCGATGTGATTTTTATGCAACTTTGCAAGTGGCTTGCCATCTTTTCTTCGTCCTGAGGGGCACATGATTAATTATTGAATTTGCAGGATAATAATCTCAACGAGTTTGCTGGGATCGACCATGGAGGTAAAAATAAACCAGGGTAAATCAAGGAATCCTAATGTACATAGGCAATACATGTGTACGTGTAAGTCGGCAAAATGACAACTTAAACACAAGCCGGCATTCACGTAAGTCGTCATAATTTCTTGAGTCCCAAGAGTGCTGACTTAGCCGGAGTTTACTGTACATGCATACCTGATTACAGGCGAGCCATCAATTCAGTGCAGAGTTTGAAGTCGCTGCTATCTGAAGCTGGGGATTCTCCATCATCACCACTCACCAAATATTTCAAGGTGAGATCATCATTTTTCTTTGTCCCAGTAGTGATGTCTGGTGACATGATGGCTTGAAGCTTAAAGTTTATGCCAGTACAATCTTGATGGAATGGGGAGCTAACTTTAGAAAGGGTCAGTGGTTCAAACCACATCTGGTCTTCCCTTTTAAGAGTACAGTCTGATGAGTACCAGGATGGGGAGCAGACTGTTCTGTAGTGACATAACTCCCCAGACATGGTCACCATTAGCTTTGTTGGATTCTTCAAGACCTGCATCAAGAAACCAATAACACACTACCTTCAAGGAGCGTTAGAGCCCATGTTCATGGATAATGGCAAGGCTCCACCTGTCGTGATCCTTCTAATTTTTGTCTTGAAAGGATCTAGTAAGGTTGGAGTTAATATTTTGGTCATTCGTCAGTGGTGGATCTGTTTGGTTTATGGGCAGAATTGCAATCAAGATCCTAGTTCCAGCATCAATGAACGAGTAGCTGCTTTGAAAGACAGCTACATTCATCACTTCAAGAGGGTGATGGGATCCCCCTCAGCAGGAGTGGCACGGTCCAGATTCCAGATTGGTGTCAGATTGTACTACAGGGTTATGGAGGCCATGCTGAGAAGGGTAAGGGTCCTACCATTTACAGGAATGGGGGGTTAAGATTCCAACATTTTGCCAAGACCCTCCTCTTAAATTTCCTGTAGGCAGATTTTTTAATTTGGGAATCAAGTTATTTGTGATGTAGTATCTCCTTGACCTTTGAAGTGGGTGCATATTCATGTTTTCATTATTTTCAATTAATTTTGGCTGACATGAAAGCGTAGTGATTTAGACTTGTCTTGAGCAAAGCTTATGTAACCTCATTAAGCCTACAAGTATCAGGGTATGCTCTCTGAAGATTTTTTCAGGATTTTTTGTCGTATTACAGGTTTAGTCAGTCATGTTTTGCTGCATTTCAGCGCTTTGGCCAAAAGAGAAAACAAGTGTAAGACTGGCATCTCTCACACCTTCCTGGCCATTACAAGTCTTAGAAGATCACAGTGTTTTGCTTTCATAGTTCCAACCCCTCACCATGTTGTGTGGATGTCTCTTTAGTGATTCTGTGTCACGTTTTGATGATGTCATCTGTTTGAACTTCAAATTGTGTCCCGTGATTGCAAGAATGTCACCAACGAATTGCTTAATCATCTGTGACATATTCATTGGAGCATGACATTTCACCGTTTTGTTCAAGATGATTACTGATAGTAATTTAATTTTTTTTTTACAGGAAGAGGAGAGGTTATCCACCAGGGATTTTTCCTCGTTGCTTCTCAGTGACCTGTTCCATAAGTCACTCCTTGCTTGTGCTTTGGAAGTAGTCAGTGTAACTTATGAATATTCACGTAAGTGACATAGAATTTCTCATGTTTTGGCAAAGGAACGTGGGCTTCAGCCATTTCAATCATTTGACACTGCAATGGGAGAATTTTTCTTGTCTTGTCCAAAATCAGAAAATCAGCTTAATATTTAATTGTTAATGTATGCCAAAGTCAGTACTGGGGGGTTGCGTATATTATTATTGATGGTAAGGTGAGAAAGATTCGTCCACAAGTAAACTATAGTAGAAATAGGGTCAATTTTGTTTTTGTGTCTGTCATGTTTTTTAGTTAAAGTATAGAACTTATTCTTTAATTTCCAAGCATGATTTAGTTAATGTAAATTTCGTTTCATACAAATAAAAAAGAAATGTTACAATCAATTTCATTAACATTCCCATGTCAAGTGACACAGGTCAGGTGACACAGGTCAGGTGACACAGGTAACAGTTGCCTAAAACTGTCATCCTCCTGGACTCCCACATTAAATGATGATCCAATGGTTTATCTTGGTGGTATTCTTTGCTGGCAGGTGTTGATATCTTTTCATCACTCTTGGGCTTTTATCCCATCTCTTTATACAGCGAGTGAATTTTCCTCAATGCCAGGCAACGCATCTCGGCTCTTGTTTCCATGGATACTAGATGTCTTCTCCCTCAAGGCCTATGACTTTGGCAAGGTTCTGGAGAGCTTTGTCAAGGATGAACCCAAGCTGACCCAGGAAGCTAAAAAGGTCAGTGAACTTTTTTACTCGTTATTTACTCAACAACTTTGACACATGATAAGTTACTACTGACTTGCCCCCCTGCAGTGTAGGTATAACGTACACTTCAGCATCATTGTGGTGCGGTAAAATTGACTGCTCTGTTTCAAGAATTCACTGGCTGCGGCTCAGAGTACCACACCTGTCTATGGGATGTAGCCACAGCTTCTAGCCAGTGGCAGCTTGCTCCTTCAAATAGAGGCTTTCCATTGCTGATCTTGATCACAGTATAGCATCCAGCTCAAGGACACAAAACATGTTTTGCCTCAATACAGCATCTGCAGTCCATTGAGACAAGGATTGTAGAAAGTATGGCGTGGGAGGCAACATCACCACTTCATGATCTCTTCAGGGCTGCCGGGACCTCATTGCAGGTTGCTTTACCAGGGGTAAGAGCAATGACTCTGATATGTGAGAAACCAATCATGAATATAGAACACTTTCAATCTTAGATCTGGACTATCTGGGCTTGTTTTATTCCTTCAAATTTTGTTGGAGGGTTACCAAAAGCCAAAACAGCCTGGAACCCTTTTTTATGAGGAGTAAAATTGGTATTAAAGAGTTTATAAAGTTACATGATTTTTACTTGTGTGGCCGCAGTAGCAAACAAATCGCGGTATGTGCAACTTTGGGCTCATTCAGCTGAAAACTAGTTGCGGAAACAGTAAAACAAATGCCTGGGTCCTTGGGAGCCAGTTTTCCAGCCAGTCTTTCCTCGCTGGCATGACTAGACCTCTTGGTGCCCACAGCTATTGGGCACAGAGCCTGTAAGTAATCAAAGAAATCACTGTGAATCTTCAGATTGGACAAGACTCTAAGTACAGTTTTGTGGCATTCATTTTTTGTACAGGTTTCTAGCACGAGAGCCAATGGTTTGAGCACACCCAGGACAACAGCAGCAGATATGTGAGTCATTTAGGACTTCCTGAATATGACACTTGTTGAATCAGTCTGCTAAATAGGTAATGATGACTTAACTAAACTACACTACTCAACGGTTCCCTGCAGGTACCTGTCGCCAATTAGGCCAGCCCCACAGGTGCCTAACTCCAGCGAGGCAACACCCCCTCTCTCTACCCTGGCCAGCCCCCTGGCTAGGCCCTCTCAGCACCCACAGGGGGGCGGAACCAACCCTTCTCCTCAGCCAAGTAATATTCCCATGTCTCCCAGGAGGACACGGTCAGTGTCGCTCAACATGTTCCTGAACAAGGTTCAACAGCTGGCATACGGTCGGTTGGAGAGACTTTGCGGGATGCTTTGTGTCTCTAAAGATCTGGTAAGTTTGGCTGATCCACTAAGCAAATGAACCAGAGCTGGCTCCACAATGCAGGCTCCTCTGGTGGGAATTTCACTTCACCGGTTCACAAAGAACTATGATATGCACGCATTACGGTCATGTCGCTACCGGCTAAATGAACACTCCTTACCAACCTGGCCCTTTTTAACGAATGAGGGGGTGTTTCTGCTCAAGGTGGATTGCCTCGGAGCACTCTACATTTATCCCCATTACCCTTGAATAGTAATCTATCAGTAATCCAAACTGGACCAGAAAAAGTCCTAAGTTAGCAACACTTCCATTATTCACCACAGAAGCCACAGTAGCTAGGAGATTCGTCGCAGTAAACTCTTCTAGTACAATCAATCCTATGCAAGATGGCAATAAACCAGCATGTTAGAAAGGTTTGTCATTCCAGAATCTGAGAGACAGTTTTCCAACATGTTTGCCTTTCAGGAGAAGTTTATTTGGACATGTGTGGAGTACTGTATTACCAACAAGGCAGAGTTATTGAAGAATAGACACCTGGACCAAGTAAGAGCTCTTTCACTTTGTCAACGTTCTGAAGTCAAGTGTAACACTTTTCATGTTTAAACTTTCAAATAGTTCCGGTTGCTTTGCACTTGATCTATTTTTCAAGCCATAAAAGCATCAGTTATTGACACATTCCTGACAAGTTCACATGAAATATAGCAAATAGATGTAACATTTTCAAGATGTACTTTGCGTCGTCATGGAGATGTTAATTTTAACTGTGGGTTTTGCCCTTACCCGACGAATATATTTATAAATGCTGTATACTCAGTGCTTGTCCAAGAGCTTGCAGAAAAAATTCACAAGCTTACTTAGGTGGGACTTAAACCCATGACCCCCTGCTTACCAGTGCAGGCGTCTTAACCACTCAACCACTGAGCTTGCCGGGGTCAGCTTGCCAATCTGAGTCAGGTGTAGCAGCAGGTACCACAAACCAGTGTTGTATTCGAGACAGTCACAAGACCAGACACAAGACCTTACACAAGACCATGCGCGAGACCAGTCAAAAGTAACAGTGTGAACAATGACAAAGGAATGCTTTTGTTGCAATAGGAATGCTTTTGTTTGAATAGCTTGTGACTTGAATTCAAACTGGAGGTCTTGTGCTGGTCTTGTGTGGTCTTGTGAAGGTCTTAAGTCGTTTTGACCTCAACACAGCCACAGACTACTTTCAAGATGTACTTTGCATCGGGAGATGTTACTTTTAAGGGCAAAACCCATAATAAAAATTAGATGTAACATGTAATGGATATATATCATGAAACTATGTGTTATAGTTACTTAAAAGTTTGTGCATTGGTGTTGACTGTGTTCATGAAAAGATAAAACATTGCTGGCAATGTTTGGAATGTTAAAAATGAATTTGTACCCCATTTTCCCCGTCTTTTTTTACCATTTTGAGCATTGTGCTGTTTTTATTTTCTTTGCAGATCATTATGAGCTGTATCTATGCAATCTGTAAAGTAACAGACAGCGAGTTGAAATTCAAAGACATCGTCAATGCGTACCGGACACTTCCCCATGCTGAAGCAACGGTACGCTGTTCAAACCAAACTTTTTAATCTATCTGCTCGTGCAGAAGCACCCCTCATCTCTTGAAAAGAGCCATGTTAGTGAAAAGTGTCCATTGGGTTGGTGGCAACGCAACCGCAACGCATACTTTTCATAGTCATTTGTGAACTAGCCAAGTGCAGTTCCTACCAAAGGGGCCTCCATTGCTAGGAAAATTGCGCCCTCTCTTGGTCCCGCTCGGGGCCCCATTGTGTAACTGACTGAGATGATGGACTTGAGATATTGAAGGAACTAAGATAATCATTTGTAATGGATTTAAACCAGCCAGTTCAGCTCAGCAGGGTTACGCTTTTGTCTCTGATTTACAGACATACAGGAATGTGGTTATTGATGGAACAAGGGAAGATTCTATTATCATGTTCTACAATAAGGTCTTCATGCCAGCCATGAAAGCTTACATTTTGCAATTTCAACCCAAGAGCCAAGTAAGTTCATTTCTACTTTGTCACATTCTCTAATAAATTATGGTGTAAGTATCAATAAATCAAAATTAACCTGTGATATTTTGTTACTCATTTTTAAAATTTCATTAATTAATTTCTTTAGCAAACTCCCACTGCCTCACCTGCTCCTACAAGGTCTTCTATTGTGTCTCAAGCTTCCCCAGGACTCAAGTAAGCTCCTTTTACTTGGTCAGTCTTAACATGCCCCCAAATCAGGCATGGGAATCTTTCCAGTTTAACCCGAATTCCATTTTTTTTTTTCTTCAAATTTGTGGTCTTCGAAATCAGTGTAAAAATGTAATAAAATTTGGGGGTAATTTGTAAGGGGATAAATGTTCCCAGTGACATTTGTACATTGAAACAATTGGATTCACATGCCACTTTGGGGCTGTATAAGCAATACCCTTCGAATTGTACAATGTACGTAGGAAACAAGGGACAATTTTGCGGTTTCCCAAAAACCTAAATTCTCTTAACGTAGCCTAAGGAGGGAACCAGTGACAAGTGCAGTCACTCGCGCTTTGCCTTAAAGCCTCTTTGCGATCGCTTGAATGCCTGTTGTCACAGGAAAATCCGAATCCCGTAAAAATCAGACTCTTACCTGTTATTGGTTAATTCCTCTCACATGACCGGTCATTCTCCTAATTATCATACGTACGCATGCGCATTACTCCCAATGGGTCCTTGTTTCATAGAGATGTTAATTCATTGCAATGCTGCTGCGTGGCCTTGTGCAAACTGGCTTTTGGAAATTGGTACAAGTACGTATGTACGTATACACGTTCACATTCAGTCGGGAAAAATGGAAATCATGGCGGACGGAAAGAAATTCGTTGAGCGTGGAGCTGCCAATCCGAAAGAGATTGAAGAACCAATAAAAAACAAGTGAATTGGTCATGGTGCGACAAATGTTACTGGCTAAAACAGAAGATGAGCACATGGTGGGCGACTGACTGCTTTCTCAAGCTTTACAATCCCGGAGAAGCATGGTGCGAGTGGTGTTGTATTGGTATCAAGTAGGCCTACAGTACTTCCAGAGCTAAAGCATTGATACAGCATGCAGCTAAGTATGATAAACACTGCAAACACTTCCATGATAGGAAGAGGGCTCGGTAGAAAGCACTAGAATGCCTAGCTGCAAAAAGAAGGAAGATGACGTCAAATCAACATCCTCATATTTAAATGGCCATTTCAGGTTTGGCGAGTCCAATTAATAAAAAATTTAGAATAATTCAAAACATAATGAGAAATATTCTTACTATTAAGAAAATTTTGCTTCAACCATTTAGAGGCAAAGGGGCAATAATCTCTGTACTCTTTTACTCCAGGGTTGGTCCCAATCTGTACATCTCTCCAATGAAGGAATCTCCTTTTAAGAGCCCACATCCTGTCCGAGTTGTCTCCTTTGGATCACCATGCCAACGTACTCCAAGAAAAAGGTAACAATAACTTGTCTCAATATGGCAAGTATTTCTACACTTATTTTTTTAAAACTTCGTACCCTAAAATCAAAATGTTAGGTGACTATTATATTCCCAATATGTTGAGAGATTTCGATTCATTTTTAACCACTTATTACAAAAGTGCTGTAGTTGAATATCTTCACATGTAGTCTTTAAGAAATCGCTCTTAAGTTGTTTTGTGTTGGCAAAGACTGTTGTCAAGTTCATGTTCAAGTTTCTCTTCTTGACATCTCTGGTTTCCTCTCTTGACAGGACATTCTACAGCTTTGGTGAGGGCCCAGGGGTGAGTTGGCATCTCTCTATCTTTCTCTTTTCCTTGAGTTCTTTCTTTCTGCATCCAATCTTACTTTCATTTGTTCCATTTTCCTTCTTAACCACCATTATCTTCCCTTCGTATGGCCAGCATCACCCAACCTCCTCTCCTGTTGCAAGTCTCCCTTCCCCCAGCCTTCATCATTGTTGTTTTCTTTTGTTACTTACCAGTCTTCAGAGAAGCTGCGTGAGATTAATGAAAGGATGAAGGAGGCCAGCGTGGAGAGTAGGAACACTCGCTCCATCACATCCAAACGACTCAAATTTGAAGATGAAGATGTTTCAGCTTCGTCAACATCTCAAGATGATACTGACTGGTTAGTGATGAGAGGAGAGGGGGAGAAGGGATTATGGTGTGGGACAGAAAAGCGAAATGAGAAAGAGCAACTCCTGCTTTTTTGGCGTAATCGGATCAAAATCAAGACGAGTTGATGACTGTTGGGCCAAGTTGTACAAGTTGTATCAGGATTGAAAGGAAGCATGAGGGAAATGTTGCCGTATTGTTTGCAAAATGATTACATGGTGAGATTATCACACTGTATATTCAGTTGCTAAAGAAAAGATTTTGACTTCTGTTATTTAATTTTTGCAACTGGATTTGAGCACCTGTTTTTTTGTTTGTTTGTAGCCCTGTTGCTAATGGAAGATCGACAAGTAATGGTGTGTCATCCACCAATGGTCACATGACATCACATTCAGGAAATGATGAACCAATAAGCACACAGCCTTTACCTCCCAGCATGCAACACAGGGTAGCCATGATGGGTAGGTAGCCTCCTTCTCGAGCACTGTCAGAAACTCAAAAAGCCTGAAAATTTCTTTGAATCTCCAAAAATTGGCAAAGTATGAAAACCAGGGGTGAAATCAAGTTGTTTTTCTGTGGAAGATATCATCTCGAGTAGGTTTTTTTTTAAATGTTTGTTTGATGAAGTCTTTAATAGTGAAAAGCTGAAATCAGCTCAATGCTCCAAGAAGCACTGAGCTGAAATAATCTCAGAGACACTCAAGATTAACCCTTTCTCCCCAGCGTCAGAGAGACAAGCAAGTCATAGTCCTTCTGAGATTGACGGTAGAGAATAAACAAACCATTGAATCCTAGTCTTCCAACCATAACAAGGAGAAGCAGACAACAGTCAACAAGGAAGAGCAGTATTGCTTAGTATCAAATGTTTTCTTCTATCACCAATATCAATTTTGTGATTCCCAATCCAAAATTTGTGCCAAACTAGAGATATTACCCATAGTGTCTTTTGCAAGATCTAACGTTTGGTCAGGGTAGAGGTGAACAAGGGAAAAATCAGTTTATTATCGTAACTGGAAATTAGTCATGGACAGTTTTAGTTTCTTAGTTGACAAAATGTCGTGGTATTGCTCTGAAAGTCGTTGCTACATGACTCTGAAATGCTCCACTGTCGTGCCTTGAAGTGGAATGAAAATTTCCATCAAATGGAACCAGCCTGGTCATTTTGAAGTAATTGTTTTAACAAATTATCCAATGCAGCTATGCAAAATTTGAATTAGTAACAAGTAATAATGGTTTACATTGCCTTTCATTTTTAATTGGCGACGAAAAATGTGGCTACTTTTAGTTGTCATTTTCGACAGAGTTCCACAATTCAAACACTTCTGTAAAAGTTCCAAAAGTTCGCTGAAATATGAATTTTGATTGACATTAATTTCGTACAGTTCTGATTATTGTAAAGACAGATTTCTTCCACATGCTGCAGTCCGTTATCTTACGTTGTACAGTTGTAGATTTTCTTCTTTAAACCAACCATGGACTGAATTTTTGGTACCTCATTTTTAAGAGCTATTTTAATTCATCAATTTCAGTGTAAAATTCTTTTAAAAGAAACTGTCATGAATCTTGGACATGGATTTTGGTATTGGTGTAGTGAGGAGTGTAACTAGGAGAGACAGAACTATTCAGGGATAAAGTATAGAATTGAGATAGGATTGTATCATATAAATTTAATGAAATGTAATGTGCAGAAGATGCGTGTTCACTTTAATAGTTTCTAGAATTTGGTCATCAGAGAGGGCATTCAGTTGACGTGTGTTTGTTTTTATCTTGACACCTGTTTTATCATTGTTTATTGCATGCCCAGTTTGAACAGTGTGTGAAATATTCATTTTCTTAAAAAGGTTCATGAATAAAAGTAACAAGCCAAACCGTTACATCCAGCGCTGAACACAAGTCATTGTATAACAAAATATGCCCATGAAGCAAGTCATTGTGTAGTCATATCCCCCCCAAACAAAACCAGTGATACAGGTACAAGTGATTTTTTCCCAGCAAATCTTTTTTTTATTCTTAAACTTGTGTGCTCCATAAAATTGTTACATGTCTGAACATTTTTTACACAGCATTAGTTTTGCACACATAAAATAAACTTAAAAATATACCGGTCAAAATGGTTTAAAAGTTAAAGACCCTTCAGGTAGGGTCTGCTAAAAATATTACAATACACAAATATAGAGAAATGGGTACCTTTCTCAGGGTTCCTGCAAATAATGATTGATGTTTCAACAATTGAAGGTGAGATTTTTCTGTCTACAGGATAAGCTATGATTAATGACACAGCATAAGACATCAACCTTTCTAATCAGAGATTTATAGCTCTCTAGATAATATGTATTTTGAATGTTAAATTTGAATGAAATCTCTAAATTCATGTGAACATAATTTGAATTCTCCACACTAAGGACACTGTTGCTATACCTCGTAATTCAGGGCAAGTTTTTGCTTACACATGTAGTTACAGAAGAGATGCCTTGCAACAATACACTGCTCTCAATGGATAAGAATGACACAAAGGAACCAGTCCATTCAAGAGATGGTGGTTGCCATGCAAAAGTTTGCCCCAAATCACGAGGTATAGCAACATTATCTTCAGTCTGGGGAATTCAAATTGTTTTGTTTATCTGCAATCAGATAACTCAGTGTACCAGATTTTATTCAAAAGGCCTATTCATCCACAGTAGTTATCTGCAGTGGACAGATGTCCTGCTCATACCTGGCTTTTCAGGGATGTAACACCTGCTTGACCTCTGACTATCGGGCTTTGTGTTTTCTTTGTACTTGGCCAAAAAGGTCTTGCTTAAAGTCACGGCTATTTCCAGTATATAAATAAGTAATGCGGTTAATTACACAAACACACAGAGAATAATTGTTGACGCTTTGGGATTTGTGCATAGACTACAGATGTGCACTGACTTCATTATTTGAATCGCCATGTTGAACACGACATTCTGGAGTGGAATTTTCTGAGAGAAATTGGAAGATCTGACGATTCCATAACTTATTGCTAGTTTTATTAGCATAATGAGGAACGCATTAGGTAGACAACGTCGGAGCCAGTATCAAACACATTGTAATCTACACGATCCTCATTAGCCAGCAGAAAGAAATGAAGAGAAAAATGAATAAAAATTTAATCTAGTGAAAGTTAAAATGATTCAAGCTACATGACTTGAAAGAACCCTGTTGCCTCATATAAAATTTTCTCCATCAAAAGTGACCATTTTCATCACCCCAACAAATTTGCTTCTGTTTTGCTTGTTTTCTACCATTATCAAAAGCATTTGCCCAAACAGCAACTTTTGTGGCAGAATTCACATCAACATTTATGCAAATGAGCTTAGCAAAACAATGCAGGCGATTGGTGAAAACAGCAAATTCTGTACCAATAGAAAAACAACAGCATGCTTACTTAAAAACTGCTTGAAATTGACAGCTAAAATCTCCAAGAAATTGACTATGCCATATACATGCTGTTTTCAGGCGCATAAAAATGTTGACTCGCTTACATGTACGTGTGTAATTTAAAAATTCCAATTAATGGAAATCTGCAAATTAAATAATATCTTCAGTGGGGTAGTTAACAATTTAACTACCTCCGATTGGCGCAAAAAAACTTGAATGCTGTGAATGTTATAATTCTTACCACTCAAATTGGCACCACCAGTGGTCACCACTCATCAAAAACATAAATATACGTGTACCTGTCAAAATACAGGGGGATGATTTTACATGATTAGCACAGCCTGAAGCAAAAACACTCAATTAAAAAGCTCACATTATGCCTCTTCAACTTGCTGTTCCATTGTCGGTTCTTCTTCCTGTTGAGTTTCCTGCTTTGGTTCATTAGGCTTAGTTTCCTCTCCAGCATTGTTAGTCTCCTTTCCAGCACCTTGTGCTTGCTGCTCCTCTTGCTCTGTTGGGCTTCTTTGCTCTTCTCGGGATTTTGTACGTTGTCTTTCCTTTCTTGATGATTTCCGACCTGAGCGGGAGGTTCCATTCTTCTCAGCTTCCTGTCTCCTCCGCTGTAAAAAGATAACAAAATATTGTTCAGAATTTCAAATATCTCCATTTTCTTTTATATTTAAGAGAACAGCTTATGACACCTAAAATCGCTTCCTAAAAAATCATTTTTCAATACAATATTTGTTTGAGCATGGAAAACATGGATGCTCAGTCTATTGCAAATCATTTGTACATTACCATTATTACCACAGTTTTATTTTAAAAGGAGTAATTTTTTGCATAGATTGCTTATTTTCCATCTCATCACCTCGCCAGCCCGTACACAACATGAGACAACACAACGCTGCAATCCATATTTAGCTAATCAATAACCAGGCCTGTTGACTCTACACCTGTCTTCCTACGGTTCTCGGAAGTGTTCAATGAAGCCAGCATAATATGTAACTACGACACCATTTTTTATGAGAACTATTGATTTCACGTCTTACAATCAATATGTAGGTCTTAATTTAACACTCCAGGGTACACCAGCATTGCTGTATCAACCCTGATGTTGCCACAGCCATAGCAAACACTCACATGAAGGCCGGATTGTGTTTTTTCAATGTTTTCTTTGTTTTTTTTTTTAATTGACTTAGCATTTCCACAGCTGAGTAAATGTTGAAATACTCCCAAATTTTTAACACTGCATACAGATTACAGAACCAATGTTACTTTTACTGTTCAAGATAAGCCAGAGAAAAAAAGAAAATTAACCACACAGTATTCAAATTGTCTGAATCTACAAATTTGGTCCACGCATATATTACGTGTACAGGAATATTTTGGGTGTATAAATTGGTACCTTTACTGAGTATACATGTATCAAGTTCTTAGCTTAACACACCTTGTTCATATTCTGAATACAGGAAACTCGCAAAGATCACAAATATCTCATTCAGGCATTTTGGTGGCTTGTATCACCTGGCTTCGAATGCCTTGTTGAGTTTTTGCTGTGTAAATGTTTTAGCACTTTAGATTAGACCTTAGTGAATATTTTATGAGCTGTGTTGCTATGGCATTTATGATAACAGAAATGGTGGCTTGGAAGTGCTGGTCCCAAAACGACCTAGTTGCCAGGCAACAAGTGGCAGCAGCAAGAAAATGGTTTTGTCAACTTGTTAACGCCCCACCCCCCTCTTCACTCAATCACGGGCAGTCTTGTATCAGCATTTCAATCAAACACTGAAGTGTTGGACATGTAATTGGAAATTGTATTGAAATCTTAAACAACTGCAACAAATACACTGAGGGAAAAGCACAAAATGATCAAGTACACACACCAAAGCTTTTCAATTGTCTCACATAGTAAACCAATATATTTCGAGCAGGAAAATAATCATAAAAGTTACAGCATTTCAGAGAATATCTGTGAAGCTTTTGCCAATTTGCAAATTGTCAGATTCTTTTACTATTAAACATTTCAAGTTGAGCTTTTGACATAAAATGAACAGCAATTTCTCTTACCTCTCTGGTCTCTGCCCTGATGCGTTCTTTCTCTTGCTGTTCTATTTCCCACCAGTTTCTTGGATAGCGAGCGATGTTATCCATAAATGTTTCATTCTCCTCCCATTCTCTCTGCCACCTTCGGTGATTATACTCCGGTTCCCGTGCCAAGATGCGCTTCAAGATCTCTTGATTCTCCCGAGTCACGCGCAACAGCTCTCGTTGTCTTTTCTCTTTGTTCAAACTGTAAATGAAAGATTACTCTATAAGATTGCAAACATTAATATCCAATTAGGTTTTCTCGAAGATGAAGCCCCAAGAAAAATCCAGGAAGACCAGCGTTAGTAGGGAAGTTTAGAAATTTGCTTCAACATAAATGATTTTGAGAGGAACTGTATACAGTAATTTGGACTTGGCTATTTACTAAGTTGGTGTAACTTCTTGAGAAGCTAATCTCTCAATACTGCTGCCTTGATATCGCACATGACATCACATAGCCTTTTACACAAGCTGAGATCTTTTTCAAACCAAGTGAGTTTCATCATAAACGACGGTTGGGGAATCCACTTGTTGGCTACAGTGATATTTGTGGGTACTTAGGTGATATTTTACAGCAGCAGAAAAGTCATAAAAGTGCTGAGAGGAGACGTTCAGCCTACCTTCTGTGGATGTAGTTATTCCTATGGTCAACCCGTCCAGTAGTTCTCATTATCTCTGACATCTTCTCAAGTAAGATACGGTTATCTCTCTCAATAACTGCCAAGCGCTCCTCCTCAAGCTGATGGTAGGAGAAAAATCAAATAATTTAAAAGTTCAAAGACTGTTGTTTTGTGTCTGAAACCGAAGTGACAGAGCGAAATCTTCAATATAGACACAAATACCAATACAAATATCAATATGACAACTGTTCCTCTTGGCTTTGAAACCACTTCTAACCTGTAACTTCTTCAGTTTAAGATGTAGATGCACGTATGTTGTTGGAGGTTTTGTGTCAACCATGGGCTGAGCCTCACGCACCTGTTGGCCAAATAAATTAATTTTAAGGTTATTTCTTGTTTGACAAAAAAGAATCGTCCTTAAAGTTCTTTTTTCTACATTAGATGTAATCCATGTATCCTTTCAAAAAATTCAAGATTATTTATAAATTTTTAGCTATCATTAGTTAAACTTTCCAAAGCAAAATAGAATAGAATGCCAGTGGTACTTGCTACAGCGTAAAACAAATCAAATTTATCTGTTTGTTTAATCTATGGTGAAGAGGCCTTGAGCAAAGACTAAGCGCTCCCTGGCAAGCTGAAGTAGATGACATGCGGTAGATTAATTAAACTGTAATATTACAGGCTTGGGAAAGAGTGCAGACTGGTTGGTTTGAAGTGTTTACTGCTGACGGTCAGGTTATTAACAAGTCCATCCAAGGGTCTGAGGGGGGTTGTTCTACTGAAAACATGACATGCACACAAGTATATCAGAGACAGGTGTGCTTCTATATAGGAAATGTCAGAGCAGTGGAGTAGCTCACCATAAAGTCGAGATACATAGATCTTGGCACGGGAATTTAATGATGCATTTTTGCTCTGCAATTTTAAATGCTTCATTCCTTGTCTTAATGGAAATAAATGAAAACAGGTTTCTGAAGGCTTCACTACACTTATGCCAGGTTTTGTAGTTCGTATTTCATTCCAAAGATGCGTTCAACATCACAGTTAACAATAAAGAATCTCCAATGCAAGGTGACTGTTAGAAGTCCCATCTATGAACTTCGTCAACTCCGTGGTCAACTTCAGTAAAATTGTTACCTTCTGTTGGTGTTCCTCGTAATATTTACGATCCCATCTTGCCTTTAGGAGGCGGCTCTGGCAGGGTAATATGGACTGGTACGATTTATGCATGACTACTCGCTACTCAACTTCAGTCTAGACGGCCAGAAAACCACAACTCTACCGTAAAATTCTAGCGAGAAACTACGAAAAGTACACCAGTTTGTTTGGGGTCGGTTCAGCACAGTCAACACTCAATACGCTTATGTGTAACATATACACCTGTGCCGCCCAAGCGGTAACTAGGCAATCAATTATGCTGCGGCGGCGGCCTGTGGCGGCTTCTGTTTAGTCACATGACGCGGAAGTGTAACTAAGGTGGTTACAAAAAAGTTTGACTTGACGACTGTTTTATGTCGTGACGGCTGTTCTATGATTCGGGATTTTATCGAAGGAACAGATGAGACCATAGATGAAGGGTACATTATAGAGAACACTGTAGACATATCGAAAGACAACAGGGAGGGGGAATGACAATTTTCTCAAACTATTTTTCACTTCAGCAAACAGCTGCCCCCTTCAAAACGAATCTTGCACGTTATAGTCTTAAAAAGTTGCAGCATGCATGTTCCCAGCAGGTGACTTCAAGTTGTCCCCCGTACTTATCACACAGGGAGATAAAAATATCAAATGGCAGTCCAACGGTCAAATGTCTTTTTCCAGCCACTCGCTCTTTGTGATTGATAGGTTGAGAACAATGGCAAACTTTGCAAAGTGTTTGATAAGAGTACATGAGAGTATGCATAATTGCAATCTAATTTCACAATGGAATTAAATATTCACAAACTGTGTCCGTCCAGAATATAGGACTCAAGTGAAATTCCATTTATTACTTGGGAAAAAAGAGTTGTTGGGTAAAAGTTACTTAAAAATTATACTCAACTCATCAAGATGACCCCTGATAAATTGTTGAGTTAGACTTCTTGAATAAGCCGTTAATTGTATTGCTCTTTTATCGACTCGATTATTTTCTGATGGGGACTGTGATCATTTGTACCAAAGACAGGTGGGATGACTGAGGAGACCGTGCGAAGCATTTTACTGGCCAGACGACGCGTATGCTCAATGAAAGCTCGAATGAAAAGACGCCCCCATCGTCTGCACGCAAGAAAACAGGCTGGTGATGTGGGCGTGGTGTTTCCTGTGCCGGGGTAGCATTTTTTGTTAAGTGAGACGAATAGTGTGTCTTAGTCTTGTGTTCGAGGCCATAATGGCGGTGTCATTCCCTCAGCACACATACAATGTAACAGAGCCCATCTTAGCAGACGTTTACAACGGCTCTGAAAAAGCCTACTTTTCTTTGTCCAAAACCCAGGGTTAACAATAAAATGTTTCAATGACGGGATAAGGATTAGAGGCCGCGATTTGCCGTTACGCTTGAGTAGATAACAATGGGAAAAATTTCTGAGAAAATCTCAAAATACGGGGCGATGGAAGGGTTTTATCTCACACAAATATGCTTTTTGCAGAGGAAATTGCAGACTGAACATGGCTACAGTCTCGAAATTCCGAAATTCTCAGTATTTAGAAATTCGACCTGTGAAAACTAGCTGGTTCGTCACAAAAACTGTCGTCTTTTTAACGTAGGTGGCGCTCTTTCCAGAGGCTCTCAATGTGTCGAGGCCAATTAAGGCGCATTGATCTAAAATAACCAAGAATGTATTTCTTTAAACGGGTGTTGTTCATACTGCAGGGCGGGAAGGTGGAAAAAACAGTGTGTAGTTTGTTGCAAGAAGTGGTTTTTATTTGATAATTTATAATAGAGGTATAATGTTTAAACTGTGCATAGACTTGTATAAAACTCTTTATAACAGAAAACGTGGCAATGCTTGGGGAGCAGAGAGATCCAATATTAAGGTTCTCACGCGATAAACGGCTGGGAAAAGAGCGCCACCTACGTTCAAAAGAAGTAAGGTTTGGAGTAGAACCAGCTAGTTTTCACTGGTCGACTTTCTTAATACTGAGAATTTCGGAATTTTGAGACTGTAGCCATGTTCAGTCGGAAATTTCCTCCGCAAAAAGCATATTTGTGTGAGACAAAACCCTTCCATCGCCCCGTATTTTGAGATTTTCTCAAAAAAATTTCCAATTGTTATCTACTCAAGCGTAACGGCAAATCGAGGCCTCTAATCCTAATCCTGTCATTGAAACATTTTATTGTTAAAGGGGCGTTCTGGACAAAGAAAAGTAGGCTCTTTTCGAATCGTTGTACCCGTCTATCTTAAATTACCCATATATCAAATATAGGTTTAACTATGGAATGAGTAGTGAAAACGACTTTTTAGGAGCCTAGAAAGCCAGCCAGCGTGAGCGCTTTCCACGTACAGACATCAGCGTCTGCGCTAGCCTCTCATTCAATACACTGAATATTCATTCATTCTTCAAAGTGCGCACCATCTGGCACTTGACAAAGAATTTCAGTCGGGCCAGACCCAGGGATTATAGATTCTACTACACCTCATAGGCAGAATATATATTTTTTGTTACTAAGGGATATGGATATGAATAATAAATGGTTTGTGAAAATTGATCTACGGCTTCCAGACATCCGGAAGACAGAAAGGGATTGGGTCGGGAAGTAGTATTTCAGTGGATAGAAACCAAAATAATACTGATCTTATACCAGCATTTCATTAGTTCCTCTGGTTTAATGATATAATACAAAACAAATGCTAAACATTCATAATAATGTCATAAAAGATATAATGTATTTTTAAGAAATTTAAAGGGTTAAACGAGTAATAGATATGGTCAATTTTTTAAAAATATTTCTTAACCTTTTTCAATTTAGTAATGAATCACTACAAAAAGTCAAAAGGAAGACTGTTGGTCTATAAATTATATACATAGGTATCAAATCAAATCAGAAGAACAAACCAAAAGCTGTTGCATACCTTTGATTAATTAATTATGATACCGTAGTCAATACATCTTAGTAAAATTTCAGTAAATTCCCAATTTGTAAAAATAGGGAGTGGCCGGAACACCTGTCACACCGGCTATTTCATGCAGTATCAGCACTTTATTTCAGTCCTTATGAATAATAAAAACAAAGAAACTTTTTTTTTTAAATATTACTAGCTGGACAAGAAAGTTTTCAACAACGAGTTTGACATGAATGAAAAAATTAAGAAGTTGATATCTGTAAATTGCTACAAACCAGTAATCAATACTCCAGGATGACATAATGGGGACTGACCAGCTCTAACATCTGATCCCCTCCCTCTTCATAAGAGTTTAAGCTAAGCAGCTGTTCGGATGACAAGTAGGAAAAGAAGTCAACTTGAACAAGCAGAAATTGCAAGACACAGTAGATTAAGTTCCTGATCCTTCAACATGCTACAAAATAGTTTCAATCTTTAGTAAGGGGGTTCTGTAATGATCTCTATTGACCCTCATGGATCCTTACACTGAACAAAACAGACGTTTTGACATTTTCACTTAAATGCCCTGGTCTTCATCAGGAGCTAATTTGCTTTTCTTTTCAATTTTGGGTTCAGGCCTACTGTGGTTTTCCATAATTCAGCAATCAGTCATTTAAATGGAACTAACCCTAAAGTTACAACTTAATTAGCACCGGTGCTTTATCAAGACACTCTCAACAAGTGATTATGCGTGCACGGCAGTTCAGATCATTTCCATTTTTAAGGTAAGTTCAGAATAACTCTGGATGACAACTGCATCATCAGGGTAGAATCTTGTGGTATTTGACTCCTGGGAGAACACACAGCATCTCAAATAAGAGGTTGGCTGCAATAAGAGCTGTGGTCCCCAGAGGATCATAGGCCGGACAAACCTGAAGGAACCATGAAAACAAGGTAGACAACAAATGACACTCGCAGTCACTACATAAAAAGCATTAAGGTGAAGAAGTGATTCCTCCTCAAAGAACCACTTTGCCCCTCCCCATCCATCTCAACAAACAGCCTCCATCTCCTCCTAGCTCCTCCCCTCCACCTCATCCAGTGTCCTCTATTTCATCCTTTCCCCTCCCCCTCCATCTCCTCCTAGCTCCTCCCCTCCACCTCATCCAGTGCCCTCTATTTCATCCTTGCCCCTCCCCCTTCATCTCCTCCTAGCTCCTCCCCTCCACCTCATCCAGTGCCCTCTATTTCATCTTTGTGCTATGCAAAATGAGCAGGGGAACCAGCCTGAAGAGCTGCACTTTGACTGGTAATGTGTTTTGTGCAAAGGAAAATTCCAGCGCTAAGCAGGCTCAGCTACTAGTGCATGCACACTCTGCCATCACTTGGCTACAAGAGACAAGTCGCACCTCACAGCACCCTCATCAATTATGCACAGTGCCAACAGAACAGGAAACTACACTTCAATATTTCCCTCCTCGTTCCACTTAGCTCAAAGTTCTATACCAACATTCTTTTAGATTTTAAAAGACATATCGACCAGAAACTCCTTAGGCTGAATGGCTATGGCTGCCAATAGCACATGCACTGATAGAAGCCGCTAGCTAGCCACTACAGACATTTCCCATAGACATGTGAATTACTTACAGGACATGGTCATAAGTGGCACTGCCCTCAATCATTGACAAGAGTAAGACATTAAAGAATTGTGATAAGCCTACCTCTACCATGTCACCACCAATGATGTTCAACCCCTTACAACCTCGTAGTATCTCCATTGCTTGGATGGAAGTTAACCCACCTAATTCCGGTGTGCCTGCCAAAGACCAAGGATTAAGATGCAGTTCCTTTAGACAAAAAAACAAAATCTCACCTGACCTAGCTAGCTCTCAAGAAAATCAGGAAGTATCCAAACTAAGTTTGTGCAGAATGAAGGTTTTTATTTGCAAACAGGTATGTCAAAGGAGCCTAGAAAGCAAATAGAGAGAAGATGACAAAGAACTGATCAAGATCAAAATTTGTCGACCCAATGCGTGCTTGGAAAGGGTCGACAAATTTCGCTCGTTATGACTGGCAAACTCTTGGTGGCGCATTATTGTGAATTGCCCGTATTACATGTACATCTAAGAGTTAATGTAGGAACTTCTGCATGTGGCATTTCTTTACACGACAGCCAGATCTTATGGCAAATAACTAAAATAATTTGACCTACGGTTGTCAGGTCTCTGGTCATCAGAAAATACTTCTCACCTGTCCCTGGAGCTACAGATGGGTCCAATGAATCAATATCAAAACTGATGTAAACAGGGATGTCAGGACCTATCATTGTTCGGACTTCATCCATGAGAGGGACCAGTGACTTATGCCAACACTCCTCCACAACCACTACTTTGACACCCTGCAAGATAATTATCAAATACATGTACTGCTGTTGCTGTCAGCATAGAGTTCCAGCTGCAAATGTTAAAGTTCTCGCTAAATGAGAATTTCTTGAAGCCACAAGCTTTGTTAGAGTCAGTGCTACATATAGGTTGTCTTTCTTGCCAACTGCTCAAGACTGTACCCAAAGGTTGTACATATTCACTATTTGGTGATAACGGCAACTAGCAGATGGAACCCCTATCACTGTCATTGATGTCTTTATTTCTTTCCTTGCTTGGAACAATTTAAAGCAATGGTGGTGACAAACAGACAGCAACAAAGAAAACAAACAAGGGAATGTCACCCCAAACCGATGCCCTGCCAAGCAAGCGCCTAAATTCAAGATTTCAATTTGAGAGCACAAAAGCAGTCTCCATTCAAAACAACCATTTCTATTATTATAATAATGACCTTGACCTATCAAGTCCAAAGTCAACAGACGTAGTCTTCCAAAGTTCATGTTGATATGTCAAGCCCTCTCACGTTACAGTGGGAAACTGTTTGTGGACACTCGGAGAGACGGCTGCATGGATGCACTCACACACAGAAAGGTAAAGTAAATATTTGTTCAAAAGCGAGGCAAGGCTGCTGGATGTTCACAGCTTGTGTTTTACCAAGTCTTTCTGCCACTGATGACAGTTTGCCGAGTACTCAGACCCTCTCAGACCAATCTGAACCATCTTCTTGGGGTCAATGATCCCTTCCTCTAACGATCGTCGGAACGGTGTACCATGGGCAATCTTCTCTCCTAGCATTATGTCTTCACAATCATTGTGCGCATCTACATGCACGAGACCAATCTGCCCGTATTTCTCCTGTAAAACATGAGACAGAAGAGTAAAGCAAGTTGTGCTTTGCCAAGGGGATTTCAGCTTCCCAGTGATCTTTCTCTCAAGTCCATCATTTGTAAGGTCAAATGACTAAAGGTGAACAAATATTTATCCCTCTATGATTCTGGCAAATGAAAAACAGCACTATTTGAGAGCATTTTGGGTATGTATGACGTATGGCACGAATTTATCATAATGAACTTTCAACAGGAAGCCCAAATAAACCTGAATCAGAAGAAAATTGTAATCAAAACTACTGCTGTTATAGTCTCAATCCAGGTAATTACAACTTTACCTTGACGGCTTGAAGTATGGGATAAGTCAGCGTGTGGTCTCCCCCAAGAGTTAGAGGGGTACAGTTAACAGCAAAGATTTTGACATAGGCTTCCTTGATCATCTGTACAGTCTTCTTGAGATCGTAGAGATTGATGTTGATATCTCCAATGTCTGCAACTTGTAAGGATTCATAGGGTGCAGCACCTACACACAAAATAATCCTTAATATAGACACAGTTTTCTTATCCACAGAAATGTAACGGCTAACTGCATCTGAAGCTGAACAAAACATTGTTGTTAACAGCCAAAAATTGTCATAACTGATCATGTCCACAGGTTCACCCACTTTTCTCTAGACAATTAAGTGTGTCCTAATAGTGAATTTGAACTCAGAACAACAATGTTAGGTTGCTAAGTCCACAGAAGCAAGAGCTTGACACAGACTTTGTTTGTCAAATGCCATAATTACCTATGGTGCTAATGTTTCTGACGAGCACTGACTCCATTCTTATCTGCCGAGGTCCTAACCTTGCCCCAGATCGGTTTGATGTCCCGATGTCCAACGGTATGCCGACAAAACAGACGTCAAGACCTGTGAAGAAAAATATAAGTCAATAGGGAGCAGACTGAAGTTTAATTTCCACCTGCAAACCAAGCGGACAGCAAGCAAGCCAATCAGAAAACAAGGCAACAAACCAACGAGGAAACCAAACAACCATCCAGCCCTAAGCTAACCAGCACACTAGCAATTTGACTGATTGCAAACCCAACGAGCCAATTACAGCCTGCTATCTAACCAGCCAATCAGCTAGCAGGGGAGACTGCCAATCAGCCAAACAACAGACCAATCAAAAAGCCAGACTATCAACAGAACAACCGACAAGTCTATTAGACAGCCAAACAAAAAAATACAATCAAGCAGCTCGTCAACCAACCGGTCAATCAGGTGTTAATTCCATGCCAACCTTTTGGATCTTCCTGGAATGGCAATCGATACATGGTAGCAATTCCCCCAGCTCTGGCACATTCCATGCCGCTTAGTGGCTCATTGAATCTTCCACTCTTCAAAGACCGACAACTTGAACTGATCTGACAAAGCTGTGTGACACTTCCATAGTTAAATGGCTTCAGTGGACGAAGAAGAGGTGACGATAGATGCTTCAGAATCCTGGCCATCTCTGCATACACAAACTAATCGCATTTTACTTTGAAAGCAATATCAAAATATTTAAACAACACTTTGTGAAAAATCGGTTCTGAGAAGTCGGCTGTGATATTGAGATATTTATATGCTGACCTTGGATGGCACCATTTTGAAAAAGGAAAGCAGTGTTTCATGCGTCAGAAGTCAAGGCACCTGACAGGTGCCGTAGGTGCATAATTCATATTGTAACAGTATTGCCTAGTAATCAGTTGCACGTGCACTTTTTTCTAGTTTGGAAAGCTTTGGGTGCTCATATAAAAGTCCAAACTCTGTAAGTAAAATTGTGAGTCATGCTCATTTCGGAAGATATTAGGATTCAAAGTTTGTGACAATACTGCAGTTTGGATTTCAGGCATTAAAGACATGCCTTGAAGTAGGGCTGTGGTGGTGACAGATAAGAGACAGATTGTGAAAGAGAGCTACTACAGCCCTACGTGTGGAGCTAGCCCAGTGCCCACCTTCAGCTAATCAGTCTGTCTCTAGTTAGTATTTCTCACAATAAAACGGTGTCTGATCCACACCAGGCATTACTTCCAAGAGTGTACTTGGTGTAAGTTGCATGCCTTTAAGTTTCTGGAGGCAGACTGGTGCCATAGCGCTTATGCCAAAGGCATGCTTTGGTAGGCTCAAGAACAGACGGGAACAAATGTACATAGGGATAAGCCTATGCCATCCACCGAGTACATACACCATTATTAATAACCTTTACACCCTGCCTAGGCTATTGGCCTACTTTGACAAACCATGACAAACACTACTTAAAAATACTAGGCCCCAACATTCACCTGCCCATGAGCCAAAACACCATCCTACCCTGAGAACTGCGGGATCCGACGTCCACCACGCCATTATGAGAAGCGAGGCGGACGTCGGACCCCAAACACCACGCATAATGATGTGTGTGGACGTGTAGACGGACGCATGACTGCATGCAATACACTACACTCAGCGGACTTTCGTTCATTATAGTTAGGCCTGCAACCTAACAACAAGTCTGCTTGAAAAAAATTGCAAGTCATTCCAATTTCAACAGCACTTCGACATTGCCTAAACCATAAAAGTTAGGGCCTATAAACTCTGACGAGAGGAATTTTAACCCTGTATTTACCTGCAACGCTGCAAATAACGTTGGTTGATATCCTTCGCAGGTGACCTTTGACCTAAATAAATGTCCTCGGCCGGCTAGATGGTGACATCATAGTTTAAAGAGCAACCCCAACGGCGGGTGAAAATGCGGAATACAGTTTAATGTACTTACGTGGTATCTAAGTAATAAGTTATATATGTATAGTGGCACTGTGATAAAAAATATAGACAAATTCTGCGGGTTTTCCAAGAACTTTCCACGCTTGTACCGTTGGTGGCGCCATGCAGAAATGCTTTTTGATAACGTACCACTGGTGGAAACGAAAAACGTCATGACCTCACAGGACCTGGTTTTGTGGATATGTTTTCGTACAAAGGCCTGCACGCCCGTACTGCCAGCCTAACACTTTTTCGGAATAAAATAGCAACATAAAAAACATTGAAAACATCTGTCCTTCACGCTGAACTTAGCAAGCTGTAGGGCCTATGACCTTGGTCTCCTTCGAGTCAGACGCGCCGGCTCAGTGCATGCACCAGCCGGCAGAACCGTTTTCACGGTGCTACGTCGACAAAATCCTGGAAAAGGCGCTCGGCAGAAATGGCTCAGAAGTGAGTTTTTATGTGGCAAAGATGTCTATAATGGGATCCAAGTAAATATACTACGGCCAGACATCTTATTTTCTTCCACCGTTCAAGTTGGGGTTGCTTTAACTCGGGAATTCCCCTCGGCCTTGTTTGTGCAGTTTGAAGTATCATTCTTGTAGAAATACGCTTGCATAAATCTGTAGATCGAAAATTAAAGGCGTACCACGTACCACACTCTTCGTGGGGAAATGTTCTTGAATAAAGACAAGACCCTGCACAGGGCTTGGAAAGTGTGTTCCTTCCTCCATGTCCCTAGTGTGGATGGGGAAGGATCATGATGAATCGATAAATCGGTATATTTATCATAAAGAAAGTGATTCAAAATGTCTAGGTCTTATGGAGTATTTGTCCATTTGACAGGAACTACGTGTATCAATTTCAGTCAGGCATTTGTCCAACAAAGTGGCATCAATATTAGTCGAAAGCATGGGCGGAGATTCCAGAAGGATCATGGGGCATATATCCCACCCCCCCCACTTTTTGACCGGGGGTGGGTACGAATATAATCATTCCCCCTACCCCATTTAATTCACTGACTATGTGCCATGCTGAAATCACCCCCTCCCCCCACAATGTAATAATTAAGATATCTCCGCGCATGATTGAAAGTCATTCATTACACTTTGAAGATCCTGTTTTCCATCTTCTTGCAACAAAAAGACCACCGTCGATAGGTTGTGTTATGCCGTCAACCCCTAATGCTTTATATCAGTTCAACAGATTTTTTTGTTTCCCGTAATTTGACTGGAGACATCAAAGTCATACGCTGTTAGGCGCATTAGACTTTTTACGCGTGCGCGAGAAATGCAATTGCGGCAACGAATGCTGAAATTGAAAATGTTTCTAAAGCAAAAAAAACATACGCCTCTCCAAAAGTGAAGATTACTTTACAATAAATACTTTACAAAAATCCACATAAAACTCTTCGATTGCACTGCAAGTACATTGGCCACGAAAATATTCAAAGCATTTTATTTGTGAAATTCCTAAATTTCTAACCTTTAATCTAAGCTGGCTCCTAGTAAACATAGAGGGGTGTAGGTTGTAAGATATCAAAAAACATGTTCCTCGTTGCAATATCATTTATATCTTTAAAGGCTAACAAAATTCTATTCTGCGCTAGCACAATAAATGACCCTTGTACATATAAGGCAATGCGGGAAAACATGCTTAAAATAAAAGCAAAGTGAAGATTACTACAAAAATAAAATGCTTTCCTCTTGATCACTCAAGTGTTAAAAGAAAATAATCTAATGCTGGTGTAGATGTTAAATTTCTATGAAGCTTGACTCAAGGGGATTTTCTTTCTATGCAAACAAACAATTTCCGCCAAAAGAAACTGAATTGATAAGATACGTGAACACAATTTTAATGCGCGCGCACAAATATTTAGATCTTTACAAAATTATCTATGGATTAGAATGCTTCCCTAAATCAAACTGATTTTTGAAAACTTGGCATAAATCGTTTATATCGATAACATCGTATCGTAACGTGTAATTTACATTTTTTTTTCAGAACTGAATAAAAATTGAAGTACGTTCCATGGTTTAGTTGAATGTAACTTAACTTTAACTAATTTGCAGATACATCACCCCATAATAAATCTCTCCTGAAATGTTATTACAGCCATCCCTGCGTACCTTTTCATGTTTAATTGCATTTTCCAGGACTGACTGGATAATAAATTGACAGCAGACCTACGTTTCGTAAGGTTTTGTTCCGATATGATAATGTGCTAATAAAATTTGTACAAACGCTATTTCATATTAATCCTCTAAGGGGAATATCTACATTTACATCTTGCTTACACGGATCATTTCCTGTGTATCAGATATATTTTAAAGGTTAAAATCAAGAGGGTAAATTCTTTCCATAATCTTGTAGTAAGAGCGATATTTATATGCAAGCGTAGATTTGAACAATGCGCTGTGAAATAATATTCTATTCTTATGTCTTGCTGCTTTGAAGGCAGCTCACGAAAAACTTCAAAGGTTTACTTTAACCAAGCGTTTGGTGCGGTTCTGACCTAACGATTTCCCATGCACGACTGATTAAGTTTGAAATAAAACAGCTATTACTTGGTACATTTTAACTCAAAAAAGCATCTTTTTTGTTGTGTTAGAACTGTTACCTCCATAAAAGCAATTAATCCTACAATCAAAAAGTTTGAGGGGAATTTTACGGGATAGAAGCTCAAAAAACCAGATACATTTTATATGAGATGGTGTCATAAATGCTGTCCTATTTCAAACAAAAAATAATTTCATATCAGGCGTTCTCTTTTCCAGATACAAATTTTCCATATATCTAGTCATTCATTTGTGGTTGAGGTTGTTTTATTCGAGGGCAAAGCTTTTGCTTCTATTTCTTCCTTCTTGGCGATCTTTGATACTTTCTGCTCTCGCTTTTGCTTGATACAAATATCCAGGAATGTATAGAGATATGGATTGATGGAGGAATTGATTGGAAGAATGAAGACAACGCTCCAGACAAAGATTTCTGGGTTATTCTTGGCAACACCGGCTTGGAAGAGAATGCCCATGATAATGACAGGGATCCAACACGAGAAATCAGTCAAGACAATCGCCGCCATCTTGACTGCCATACGAACCTCGCTCTCATCTCGTGCACTGCGGCTGCGCACTCGACTGGCTGCCACTTTTACCTTGACAAAGATGGAGATGTAACAAGCAAGGATGACGCAGAAACAGAAGAGGTTGACACCCAAAAATAAGACGATGGAAAACACCCAGGTAGCCGAAGTGCTGGTAGGAACTGGTCTGCTGTATGTCACCTCACCAATTCCACCAACGTCAATACGTTGTTGATTTATCTCAAAACCAGTCACTCTAGTCGTCAGAGGCAAACCGATGCAGACATCAGAGAGACCGTAGGCGCCAGACTCCTCATCCAAAGACAATACGATGGATACCACGGCAATTATGACCGTTAATAGCCAAATGATGCAACCAGCAACCTTAACAACCTTAAGGCTGAGATGGCGATTACTGACAAACGGGAAAACGACAAACATGAATCGAGTGATGCTGATGAAGACAAGGAAGAACACTGATGTCTCATTGGCTACCATGGAAATGAAACCAGCCACTTTGCAAGCAGCACTGGCCCGCCACTCTCCCGACACCTCAAAATAACGAGAACCATAAAATGCATCAGCTCCCGCTATAATCAACATGTACAGCCCCATCAGTGCATCGGCAGATGCCAAATTGAACACTAGAAAAGAATTTATCATTAAACTAGCACGGCTTGCTACCTTTTCACGACACCTCCAAACCATGACAAGGATATTGCCAACTACTGCACTGATACCTAAGATCCACATGAAGACTTTCAAGACGTAGTTAGGTACGAGCTGGCTGCAGCTAAACAACTCGGGAATATCAAACCACTCACGGCAATTTTCTTGAATAGTTGCACCGAAGAAACAGCAAATCCGATAGTCATTCACGTACCTGAGGCAGACAAGAACAAACCACTCGTGTTAGTACAGATCCAGCAACAAATTATTGGGAGCAGTCCGGTTGTGTTTATAAGAGGAAGCACCTATGGGTTTGAGGGCAAAATACTAAATCAAAGTGTCTCAACAGCCACAAAGTGAGGGAATGGGTCGGGTAATAAGTAATGCCTCCTTGGAGCTAAACGTTTGTAATTAGAAGTATTGTACACAATAGACCGCTTGATAAAAATGGTGAAATGATCACTCACAGAAATGTCAACTTGTCAGCGATGTCATCAAAAGCCCCGTCTTCAATTACAGGCAGTTTAGGACTGGCACCATTTTCGAAAAATGCCCTGAGATAAGAAGAGATAATTAGAAGTTGTTGTCTAGTTAGGTTAATCTCTGGCAGGGAACTGGAACATGAAGGATGAATTGAATTTTAATTAAAAATTGCCTTGCAGTGGAAATTCAAAAAGTGGGGAATTGAGAAATGGACACTATATGGGGGCGGTTGTTCAATTAATGTCAGAGCTGTACAAAGAGAGAATAGCGCCAACTTCAGACTTTGGAACCAAAATGGCTGTTCATTATGGCTGGCCATCGCCAGTGCACACAGGCAATTGGTATACAACAATCACACGCTCAACTGTACACATAATGTTCATTCTGTTTCTCAAAATCTCAAGCTGTCGTTACTCTCTCTAATATTAAGCCTATTTCTGTCTTATGTACACACCCCTGACCCTTACATCAAACGCCATAATTAAAGGTCTAGTGTAATTTTTTCCTCCGTTTTGCAAAATAAAGCAAATTCATGGCAGTTTACTGATACAAATTAACCAGCTCGCCAAATCATGTCACATCTCCAATAAAATGACGCCTTACACAATCTACTTACATTGTGTCCAAATGATCAAGTCCGGCAAACGCTCCAGAGTCGATTTTTCTCAGATTAATATCAAATATTACCCTGTAGACCCAAAAATGAAAACAAGCTAGCCTTCACAAATAAGTCTGATAAATGGCCATTTCTGGTCTACAAATATACTGATAAATGTGTGACACACACAAGCTCTAGATTTCAAAATCTTTTAAGGGCTTGTAGCCAAGCACAGGCCTACATGAACCAATATTGGAAGCTTGACAGTTTTTACTTACAGGGAGGACAAATTAGCGAAGCCATCAAAAGTGTTTTTCTTTAAATCCGTTTCATCGCTTGTCGTCTGAATAACCCTGAAAATCAATTGAGGATAACTCGTCAACCTTCGGTTTCAAGATAATTTTGGCGTAGACTGAACGTTCAAAATGTAAATACTCACAAAATCTTCAGATCTCTAAGGTTTGGAAACATTTTGAATGAACCATCCTTGAGATTGTTGGCATTTACCCCGGCAAGATACCTGCAGAAAAACGATTCAGATGAATTAAAGATAAAATTTAAATCACTTCTTAAGCTGATATAATGTCCTTAGGAATAACCCAAAGTGTATTTATATTCCTTTATCGAAGTTAAATATTTCTTTTCATTCGCTTCAGAACTATCACTACTCCAAAGTTACGATCACTAATAGCCACATCTCAGCCTACTACATTGGATATGAAATGTCGTGGGTATTGAATAACGTTGTTTCTCATATTACAGTAAGGCTTGGCCTGAACTGGCTATTTTATTAGGAAACGTTAAGGTTGATCACACAGTCGAAGTAGTAAAATCCTTCAAGATGAAGTTGTTACTATCACGGAACAGAAAGTTGTTGGAATTGACGTACAGCGTGTGTATTGTATCGGGTACAGTCAACAGCATGGCTGGGTACCATCCAACACAAAGTACTGAGAGATCTTGACCTCTGACTCCGCAACCACATAGTGGACTGGGATTCATGCAACTTATCTGGTTGGAGAGGTTCGCTGGACAAGTCTCGCTTTCTGATGGAAATACAGAGACAAAGGATTACTCTGACTTTTTACTCGCTCTGTGCTCTGGAATGGACTTTGTGGACGTGAAAACTCATTAAGGACATTTTGAGTCAGATGTTAAGACTCACGGACAACCTTAGGCTTATCTTTCTAGATGGACAGGCCAAAAAGGAAATATTTGTAATAGAGATAGCCTAGAGGCCTGGGTGTCAGAGGTAGTCGAGAGGGGCCTTAGAGATAGCATAAAGGGGTCTTAGAGATATCTTAGAGAGTTCTTACAGATAGCCCAAAGAGGTTTTACAGAAGCCCTTGAGAGGTCTTAGAAATGGCCTGAACCGGTCTTATAGAGAGTATCTTGGAGAGGTCTTATAGAAAGCCTGGAAAGGTCTTAGAGATAGCCGAGAGAGGACTTAGAGGAAGCCTGGGGAGGACTTAGAGATAGCCGACAGAGGACTAAGAGATAGCCTTGAGAGGACTTAGAGATAGCCAAGAGAGGACTTAGAGAAAGCCTGGAGAGGACTTAGAGATAGCCTTGAGAGGACTTAGAGATAGCCGAGAGAGGTCTTAGAGAAAGCCTGGAGAGGACTTAGAGATAGCCTTGAGAGGACTTAGAGATAGCCGACAGAGGTCTTAGAGATAGCCTGGAGAGGACTTAGAGAGAGCCTGGAGAGGACTTAGAGATAGCCGAGAGAGGTCTTAGAGATAGCCTTGAGAGGACTTAGAGATAGCCTTGAGAGGACTTAGAGATAGCCGACAGAGGTCTTAGAGATAGCCTTGAGAGGACTTAGAGATAGCCGAGAGAGGTCTTAGAGATAGCCTTGAGAGGACTTAGAGATAGCCTTGAGAGGACTTAGAGATAGCCGACAGAGGTCTTAGAGATAGCCTTGAGAGGACTTTGAGATAGCCGAGAGAGGTCTTAGAGAAAACTTGGAAATGTCTTAGAGTTAGCCGAGAGAGGTCTTAGAGATAGCTTAGAGAGGTCTTATCGAGAAAGCCTGGAGAGTACTTAGAGATAGCCTAGAGAGTCAATAGTTTGTTTTCAATCTGCCTTACTATAGGTGTATTTCAACCTGTTGATCGCTGGATAAGAATGATAATTTGTAGACACTAAATTAGTTCATGGATTCCTAAATGATTAAATCTTTACCAGGATATTCTGCTAAAGAGAAGAGATAAAACCTCGATTAAACTGCAGCAGCTCCTACCATTGTCGTATTGCTGATTATCAGGACATTTCTTGCAGGCAGAGATATCAAATTTGACTTGTTGTGAGGAACCTGCAAAGCAAAATCAGCATACACTTTGGTGAACACAAAGCGAAAGTTTTTTTTCAAGAAAAAACTGCGAGGGATTTCATACAGTATCTGAAATAAAAAAATCAGTCGGGAATAATGGCAATGTGCAATACCAAAATTCATGTAACAGCATTATTTACCACAACTCGTCTCATCCGATTTGTCCTTACACTGCTCAAAACCATCACAAACTGACTCGTTGCCTAGGCAAGTTGTTCCCTCTTCTCGCCCTGCACACCGAAAATCATCTTGATTGCAAAGTCCTACAAATGAACAGGAAGTTTATAAACATTTAATCTTCAGTCAACAAAAAGGGTTTACTTTCAAAAAAATTAATTTGAGTCAGCCCCGCGAGTCCTGATTTAGTTGACAACCAAGGGTGCTTCAATACTCACCTTCTTCTCCCATCCTTCCTGATGGTGTTTCTTGTCTCACCGTCACTGAAAATCCACGACAGGCTGTATTTTTGCGGCTCCGAAACTTCAACCAGGCCTCGTTACCCTTGGCTATCAAGCGTGCACCTCCGGCGGTTAAGTTGCCAGCCAAGCGAGTGATGATGTTGGTGCCTAATAATGAGGCCAAGTCAGAAGCATCCTTGCCATTGCCGATTTCCAGTAAGTCGCCTTTTTCAATTTCCAACGCGTCGAAGTCAAAAATCACCTTGGATCCTCCATCTACACTGATGAGCCAGACGGCCAGGAAGTTGTTGGGATACAAGCCGAAATCGAAATCAGGCGACTTGAAAGACCACTTTGGGGCTTTCTCAGTCAGTGTTATAAAGTGAATACCATCTGGTATTTGAGCTGCAGGTTAGGAAAAGAAGTTACAAAGAGAGTGTCGTACTATGTTGAAAGAAACACTCACGAAGAGGCTTTAAAAGTACACTTGCAAAAATGAATGATGGGTCTCAACTTACAGCGATTGGAATAACACATTTTTAACACGACATACTTCGAAGTTTCGGCATTTGTTCTTTCCATATAGATCGGTATCATTTTTTATAGGTCTTGTTGGCAAATGACTTCAGCCATTGGCCGTTTTTTTGAAAAATGATTTCAAACGGGTGATATTTGCTTCCTCCCTATCCTCCGTTGCAACGTCTCCCCCAATCTGCCCCTACATCTAGAGCCATCAAAAATTAACTAATTCTTGATAACTGCGATGCAATGAGGTTTTGTACATAGGCAAACCATTACTTTCTTACATCTCTTAATTGGGCATACCTGCTACGTTACAAACTGCCAATGGTGGTCATTAGGGTTCTCTAAGAGTTACAAGTTATTTAGTCGGAGTACAATTAAATAAACGATGTAAGAAAAGAAGCAAAAGCAAATTTTAAGCACGACACCTAACGCAGAAGAAGTAGTAATTTAAACCGTAGAATGATTAGCTGAAAGGCAAGCGCAGTTGATAGTGACAACGATGGAGAAAGTCGTGCATATTTTTCCTCTATGTTCAAGCAAGCAAATACTTTGAAAGCAATAGATCTACATATGTTACTGCTCGTTTGATAACGTTGGTAATATAAGTCATGCCATTTCCAAAGCTGGCCTAGAAACGCTTCCACACAAAAGCAAAATAAAGAATATCCTTGAAGAAAAGCAAAGAACGACATTCCTTTTTGAGCAGTCTAACGCTTGATTCATTTCAGTCCATACGAGACATTGTGTACCTAAAGTTGTCATCTATTTCAACCTCCGACATTCTGTTGGTGTTTTCAATACCCCTCCAAAACTCAAACCAGGAAATAGGTCCGTTGTTATTAGTAAAATCGAAGCGCG